CCATGACACCCACGTAAGACGATGGAAGTCTTCTACTAGCATCCACCTTGACTGATCCTGCAAGCAAACTTTTTAGGCCTGTCATTGTGATTACAATCTTGAGAGACAGGCTGATCCATAATCACTATAGAATTCTGGCTCACAGAAACAAAAATAATAAATGTTTGTTATTTTACCATGCTATGCTTGGAGTGATTTGCTTTGCAGCAAAACATAACTAATACAGTTCAGCAGTTACCTTGCAGAGACAGCACTGCCTCTGCAGACACATGAGCCTTTCCATAGCTGGTGGCTCCCCTGAGTGGCATTCTTCTGGCTGCTTTGGGCATAACACTTCACAGAGACACTTTCCCAAATGCTGCCACTCAACATGAAGGGTTGTATATCTTAGAGATTTAGTTCCCAAGGGCACAGTTGTGCCCTACAGATTTTAAACTTTCAGAAAAGAGGAAATGAGATGCTTTTAGGGAGCAGGCTCCAATCTGTATTTGACTTTAGCTTTTTTGTCTCTGTTTCAAAGACATCTTACATTCTTGGATATTTCTGACGTTTGAGTCATGTGTCAAGATGTTGTTGATTCTAGTGATGGCAACGTTTCCTCTCATATGCAGAGCAGATTGTTAAAACATTCTGAGGCTGTGGTGCTCCTTTCCATTCTGCTGTTCCCAATTTTATTGTCACTTCAGAAATAAACTACAACATATAAAGGAGCACTGAGAAGGCGGCTTTAAGAGCCCTGGGGTAGAGCTAAAAGCAGCTCCCTTGATTTTATGTTGGAGCCATCTGGTGCTTACATCAGCTACCACTTGTTTTCAAATATATATTATTTGCGACTTTGTAGAGCTGAATAACATGAGCCCCTTTGGTACAGCAAATATTGTCAACGTACAGTGATTTAAATAAAAGAAGGAGCTAGTCATTTCATACGAATCTGTGTGGATAGAGGTTGAGAGCTTTGCAGCACTGAGAATCAGGAAATTCTTGTTCAGAGAGGGGTCTAAAACTTTGTCCTTCTGTACGCCAGGGAAACAAACTCTCTTCAGAGAAACCACCTGTGTCTAGAGTTAAGACTAGCATTTGCTGAGTGCTTACTATGTCTTAAGCATTGTGCTAAACACTTCACACACTTCATATACAATCCAAGCTTATACCAGAAGGCATTAGACAATGCCACAGTAATCATCAACTTTGAAATGCCAGAGCATTAACCTAAAATGTTTTTATATTGCTATTATACATTCATATGGGTATAGCCTGCAGAGATCAGGCTAACATCATATTTGTGTACCATATGGAAATAACAGAAATTTCCCTTGCTCAACTTGGGAAAGAAATGGGAAGTGTTATACAATAGTTCTTTTACAGTTTGGTTTGGAAACCCCACATATGGCTCAAAATGTCACTGGGCAAGAGAAGTCACATGATCTTGCCTAAAAATGTACCCAAATGACTGGGAATGGAAGAAAACCTAAACTAGATAAGCATTGGAAGTCTAAAAATACTTTAACAGACTCATTTTATAGGTGCAGGAGGCAACTGAGAGGTAAAGTCAGGTTTTAAGACCATTTACCTGAAGAATAAACTGGATGATTGTAAACACAGGAGTGTTAATAGTGAAAGCCTTTGATTTAACCAGTATGTACAGGAGAGAATTCCTGGTCAAGGGTAACAGTGACTGAAGGGAGTTGTTGAGTTCCATGATAGTTGGGTTACTCTGAGTACAAAACACACTTTCATGGATTACCATCCTCCAAGTGGGTAGGGGTCACTGCTCACCATAGAAAGCTGAAGCACACAGGATATTGCCAGCAGCATTACAAGTGTTTAATAAACACTGGATGAAGTCTATGGAATGGATGTGCTCGGTAGCACTACATGGTCTGGTATACACTAGGTCCTAGGTCCTAGGACACATGCTTGGTGTTGGTTTGCGATGTTTGGATGTTTGCAGTGAGGTACACCTTGCTCATTTATATTGTAGAACAGTAAAATTAAGCTGCACTATAAATGATCCACACCACAAGGAGAGTAACAGGACTGCGACTCGGGAAGTTTTACTGCTCAAAGCCAAAGAGCAGAGAGGCCATCCTCTGAGTTAAACTGGCCTCTCCCTCCCTCGTCAGCTGTGAGTGTTGTTTGGGGTTTTCAAGGTCAGGACAGACTACCTAGTCACAGATGACTACTCTCATTGTCATCGACGTTAGCTTTCCAGTGCTGTGTGGGTTTCAGTCACATTCATCTCCAAGGGTATCACATTATAAACTGAAACTGTCCTTAAGAGCTCTTTCCTCTCCTAGGGTCTGGTGCCGCTATTTCCTAGAAAGACCCTTCCTTCGAGGGACCTTTCCTAACTCACTTTTGCTGCTGTCTCGGTTTACTGAGGTGGAGTTCTTCGCTACTCACCCAACTTATCTCTTTTTATGAAGACCAGGGGATGCTACAATCAGGGGATGCTACTATCATGTATTCTTAATCAAAGTATTTGGACATACTTTCCCACAGTGCAGTAAATCTGCTTGGCGTGTGAAGGGCAGCAATCTACTTGTCAGAGGGTTTAGGGAATTTTGTTTCTCTGCAAACTTACCTATGTAGTCAGTGTTTTAAGAGTAGAATCCATCTCTCTGAGTATAACTTACAACAGCCATCACAGGGGCATTTATGTTGTCTCAGAGGCCAGGATTATGAAAGGGATTTACTACAGCATGGTGTGGTGGTGATCTACATTTTATGATTGTTAGGAGAGTTTTTACAGTTATGGTTTATGAGTGCTTAATCAAATAATGTTGCATATCTCATCAGGATGGTCAGTGGAACTTCTGATTTTACATGAAACATGCAAACATCCCTCGTCTGCAACACGCAAGGATTACTCTCTCACAGTGATCTTTACATCAAATATGTGAACACTGAAATTTTCTGAAAAAAACTAATATCCTATTTCATACATTCATGGAAGAAAAATCAAACATACTTTAACTCTGAAGAAATTTCAGGCATACTTTTCACATAAATAATGAGATAAATATTTGAGAAATAAATTGCCTAATGAATATTCATATAATTAAAATAATATACCCAAGTATGTTTGGTAAAACATACAAACACTTGAAATCGGGAAACCTGGAGTTTTACCTTCTCCTGTACTTGCATTTAAGATTTTAAACAAGTTGTTTAATTTTATATAGGCAACCACAGAAAGAAAAAATTAAATTAGGGTCCAAAATGTGTACTAGTATCTCCTCTCTCCTGTGGGATACCACATTATTGATGAGGGCACTTTTGCCTGCTAGCCATAATATCCAAAACTCTCTCTGTCCTGGTCTCAGATAATGACTCCAACAGATTTGATTTCACATGTGTTATGAGGTTCATTCATAATCCCAAGCAGATAATCTTAAAAGTTCCTCAACCAGATCATTAAAAATATCCTTTAATATTGAAAGGATTTGCAGCCTAAAAATAACAAATGCTGATGCACGTGCATAATGGCAAAATAAGGACTGTAAGTGTGAGCACTTCGTATCTTTAATCGCAAACACTCTTTTCTTCATTCTTCTTTTTCTTAGAATACATTCTATGTCAACAAGGATTCTTTCCTCGACCTAAATATAGTCTTGGCCCTCTAACTTCTTTAAGACTTTCCCGGAGCATTTGACTTAAAGCAACTACATGGCCCAGCTGTTGGAAGAACCCTGGTCAGTCTTGTTGGGGAGAATCCCTCATCTCGCCATCTGATTGCTGCCCACATGTGGTCATATAGCTCATCCCTCTCATGATACCTGGCTATTCCAGCTGCCAACCTCAAGAATTCTCTCAAGTCCTTAATCAGAGTCACCTTGACCTTGATGCTATCTCTTTACTAACTTTCGGTGTCACTGACCCCTGCTTTCTTGATTCACTGTAGATTACTATTTTTCCATGCTGTATGCAGAAGGAGCTCAGAGCCATACTGAACTCTTTTCCTCTTCAACTGGAAAAGTTCCTGACTAAAATCTGTTTTTACTGCTTCAATGACTGCAGCTCTGGGTTTTCTTTGATGTGTAAGCAAACAAAAGTGTATTTTGCTTTACAGCGTATTCTCAGGAGAACCCAACCACTGAAACTGCCAAATCTTTTGCCATTGTAGAGAATTGGCATGGATGAGAAGAAGTGTTTCTTTGTATTTGATCTAAATATAGGGACATGCACTGATCTTTCTATTATTAGGGTTTTGCAACATAGATTTTATTTATTAACATGATATATCCTTCCACAAAGGAACTAGGTCAGCTTGTAAAAATTACATGTACTTATGATGTAATTTCCTTTTCCCTTTTCTCACCCTGTGTTACTGAAATTTTTTCTCTTGTACACTTTCTAGAAATGAGATTATAGTTTGAACTGTATTCATTCCCATAACATATACTTATTACCTGCAGGTACCAGGGTACCTTATAATTTTTCCTTACCCTCTTTTCAAATGACCAGTATCATCTCTAAGTTGGTCTGTCTTTAAATAATAGGGCTATTTCAAGCATTTCAAGATGAATAATTAATCGGCAAGCTTGGAATCTGTCTGGTATCAAAGTATTAATGCCTGAATTAATTTTCAAGTTATAACTGTTTTCATTTACACCTACTTCCTTGCTAGTTATTTAAGGCAATTTCATCTTCCCTGACTGTGGCTTGTATGTTAATGTATTTCATTTTAATGAATACTCTTTAAGCTGTAAAAGTAGGCCAGACACTATCAGAATGTGTCATAAGTGGAGAAATCTGAATCAAAGATAAACCTTTTAGATGAAAAGGCTTAGAAAGAATGATACAATGGAGATAGTTTTAATTTATAGCTGAAACATAACTCATCTAGTATATTACTATAATAGCCTCCATCTTTTTCAGAGAATTAAAACACAGATGTGGATTCACATCTGTTTGTGAATAGTTTTACGAAATTTAACCTAACATTGTGATTATATACATGAGCCAATTGGAAAAGAAAAATGTTTACTAGGTAATGCTTCTTAAACTAACTTGCTTGATTTAACCCCAATTTTATATGATGTAGTTACAGTCCAAGTATCTTTAGGCTGGCAGCATACCTGTAATAATTACATTTAACTTGGTACAGAATACTTTAGCCAACATGGTTGCTTTTTTATATCAAGTATCTTTCTCATAGAACACTGGGAAATAATGCTTAATAGTAAACTAGGCTTTGCAGAAAAAGAGTTTTTCACAGCCATTAATAAGTCAGCATCCTAAATAAAAATTCATTGCTTTCCTTAATACTTTTGAGAATTAATAAAAGTAATTTTGTTGTTTAACTTTCACCTCTATGCTTTCCAGGCATGCTTGATACTAGAGTAGGCAAGTAAAAACTATTTATTAATATATAAAAATGGATGAACTTTTTCACCCCTAAAAAGATTTCTTCTTCACAATGTAATTGTTTCTATAAATGTTCTGTACTGCAAAAAGTACTAATAAAAATAAAATTTTTAAACAGGAAAAAAAAGAGTTGGACATCCAGCTCAGTGCAAAGGCCTTTAGTTCACTCCCAGCATAGTTAAAACAAAACAACAATATAAAAAAACTGGACATTAAATAATTATGAACCAGACAAATGTCAGTTGAGTACCAATTGCACATAATATTATTTGGTTAATTAGACAACACTCTATTGCTAATTACAGAGAACTATTTTTAAGAATGGGTTACTCATGGAAATCAGATATGCACACTTGCTTGTTGCTCTTTGTTGAGGAGTTAGCTCTGTTCCACCTGGGGGTAGCTTTTAGCTCCCATTAGGAGGCAGTTTTGTATCAAGGAAGAGTGACTCAGTTAATTGATCAAGTGTTAAGAGTGTTGGGAAGCAGGAAGTCAGGTCCTATGTTGGTATCTCTAGCCCTACTCCACCCTGTCAATGTTCAAGCTTCAGAGACAATGATTATTGGGTGTTAGAACCCCAATCCCAGACAGAGAGTTCCCATTAGACAACATTCTCCTCACTTCCTATGGAAAAGATTTGGGTAGTCTAGACCAGGCCTAATTATTATTTTTATTAACCAGAGAAACACAGTTTGGACTTTGAGCATTAAATTCCTGGAGTTTTTTTTCTCTAGATTTCATCAGTTAGGTTGTTTGGTGCCTACCAGTAGAACATGCTAGAAAGTTAGGATAAGAGCAATTTTAACATTTAAAATGTAAGGCTAGAAGATGAAAGTGCAACCCATCTAAGGTAAACGCAAGATATTATCCATTATCTGCATGAAAACAGCAAAGCATAACTTCCCACATACTCATCATCCAGTCTTCTTCTTCTTTTTTATTTAAAGAGAAAAAAAAGAAAGGAAATAAAAAAAAAAAAAAACAAAGCAGTGAAAGGGTACAAATAGTACAGAATTTCAAGGAAAAAAATACAGTAAGATATCACTAGTTAATAGGTTACATATTGTCATCTTTGAAATAGTTGTCCAAATTATGAAATTAAAGCATGTAAAGTGAACATTCATACAATGAGACTGCAGACAGTGCCGATCAATGATCCAACAAAAGTTCAGTAATATGGATTTCCATCCTACACACTCAAACATACATGCAGTTATATCCCTTAGACCACCTTCCTTTCCTCTCTTTTTAATAACAATTACACTTTTTGGGTTTTTTTACTCCCACAATTATTATTATTTTTTTGGAGAGAATAAAACCTAACGCGGCTAAACAAAACAGAGTCGGTTAGAACAAAAGGATAGGCATAGTACACGACGTAAAAATAGAATATCAGGTGATCTAAAATGGTTACCATTGTGCCTCTTGCTATTTTTTTAAAAAGTTGCCTATATCGTCAGGTATAATAGAATTGATCAAAACAGTACAGAACAAGACCAATAAAACCTACACTGGAGACCTTACAGAATTTCAAAAGAAGATTATAGTCAAACCATAGTGAATCTTAGTGGATCTTATTGCCTTCAAAGTGGTTGCCTATATCCTCAAACTTGATACTATCAAACAAAATAGATTATAGTAAAATCTGACAGAACAAGATGGGGAGAACAATACTGGGGATCATATCAGGTTAATAGGAAAACAAAAAAGTTACTATACTGTATCCCACTATTTTTTAATTCAGTTTACCCTTAATTAAAAAAACTGTAAGAAAAAAATAGATTAATTTTGAAAAAGGTGGGATTGAGGTAAAAAGAGGACATTGTATTAAAACAACACAGGTCAGAACTGAACAATTTAAGCATCATTGTGTTTCACCCCCAGATAATCTAACATAATAGTAGTCACCATAGTGCCTCCTTCCTTGAATTATTTGAGTATAACTTCATATACTATAGCATCAAGCATATCAAGTCAGTCTGAAGCTATTCAAGAGAATGAAGAAATTACAGAGTATTTAGAACCAGTTAACAGAAAACGAACAATAGTTTCTATATTATTTCTTTGCCTATAAAAAATTTTGTTTATACTATCACATATAGTAAAATATAGTAAGATACCACATGTTAAAACCAGTGGAAACAGGTGTACAACAGCTTGATGGGACTTCAAAACAAGATGATATTAAATCAGCACTAGCTTTTATGATGTGTTGTTTTCTTCAGAATAGCTATTCGTACTATCACCGATACTAAAATCGAACAGCCCAGGTTAAAACCATTGCAATTAATGAGTGATAATATTATATGGATTCAAACCAATATGATTAGGAATCATGATTACCACATAATTTTATGTATTCTTATCATTTCTTACACTAGGGAAACTATTCGGTATTTATATATTCCCATCATTTCTGAGACTGTATTTATTGAAAGGAAGGATCCCTCCTCCACTCCAGAGGCTGCTGGAATTCTATCTATGGAAGGAGCAGACTTTTGGCATGAGATTTTGGGAAAAGACTTACTAGGTTTTTGAGCAATGAACTGAGAGGCTCCATTGAGTGATGGATTAAAGGGGTCCACTGAATGCACCTCCTCACGCCCAAAGTACAGATTTCATTTGTTTTACATTATACAGTTACTCTCCATACTCTCACATTATACAGTTACTGAGCACACAGTTTTCCTCACATTACACTTCTGATAGGTGGGTAGCTGATTGTCTGTAGGCTACAATAGTCAAGTATAAAGAGTCCCAAGGCTGAGTAGCAATGTCAAATGAAGAAGAAGCAGGAGGAAGCTGCCTGAATGCCACTGTATCCTCTCTGCCGTAGAAGGGGGGAATTTCTGATGTGAGTCTCTGTGAAATTGTTTGCCACACAAAAGCATTTTAAAACACTTTTAACACACATTTTAAAACACTTTCTGCTTGTGAAGTGTATGTAAAGATGACACAGATGTGCTGTCTGTCCACAGGGAAGGAGCAAATCAACAGCTTTCTAAACAGCTAGTAAGAGTATTACTGAGAAGGAACAGAGTACAGGACCAGCCAGTTTCAGCATGTGAAGTTTGGTATTTTACTAAACTGTTTCTTCCTCAGGTAACTCAGGAAACGACATGAACAAGGATCCATTAGAGGAAAACAGAACATGTCTCATAAGACTGAATGTTCTCTAGCTTTGAACTAATGGAAATAGTTTGGATTTTGCTCTTTGTAATCCTGGGAATTGTGAATATCTCTCGATGTCCTTGTTCCACCCTGGAGTATTGTTAAGGGATACATTGAGGATGATATCCCTGAGAACTTCTTTCAGACTGTTCTCATGTGTCTGTCTGATATTTTTTACAACTCACCCAAGAAACAGCAAAATGTACTTGCACAATGTTGCCTAAACATAAATACTAGGACTATAGATACTCATGGTGACTAGATTGTTAAAAAATGCTGCATGTTTCTGAACTTAAGCACATCTAAGAGTGCTACTTCGTGTTGTGTAAGGTGTCATGTGTCACTTTCTAAGTATCCTGTCTTTAATGAAAACCAGTTTGGGGACCAATGACGAAGGCGCAGACATATCAAGCCTTCATACAGAAAAGCGGCCTGTAAGCTGCGGCAAATGCTGTGGTTTCCCTGCTGGAGGCACTGAACTCACATTTCAGATCATCATGAAATGCATATGCAGTCCTATCGGATTCATGGGTCTGAATCCATCTGCTCATTCATTGCCTAGCCAAGAGAGGAGCCAGACAGAAAGGCTAAAGGTTTCTGAAGACAGGTGCAGTTAGTTCAGAGAGTAGATCAGAAAGAGGGCTGAAGAATTTAAAAAATGACAATTGTGTTCAATGAATGATAAGATTTGCTCAGCAATTTTAGCAGCATTTTCTAGAATACACTATATACACACACAGTGGTATATATTTTATCTTGGGGATTCATACAACACTTACAAGAACTATCACAATGTAACAGTGTAATAATGTCATGTCAGAATTAAATAACATTTTAAAATTTATTTTGTCTGTTTCATTATTACACATACACACATACACAAGTTCACAGGCATATATAAACTCACACTCACACTGCACTCAGGAGAAAATAAAACACTAAGGAGGGACGGGGAGATTAATATTCCCAGTCAGCCATGCAGAAGGTTACGTGGCTATGTTATAATTTGAAGGTTGCTGTAAATATTCAATTAACCTATTCCTCATGTCTTTTTTACGACTGCATATGGTGATAAATATGCCTAATAAGAACGATCACAGAAAGACAGATGTGCAGAATAGTAAAATGAAAACACCTGAACAGATGTGTAATTTTTTTTTTGCATGAAAGGAATAGGAATGTTGAGAACAAAATTGGCAAAGCATGAAAATGCCCTTACATTAGGAAAACAGGGTGGGAATTGTTGTAGAAATATTCTGTGGATTTATTTGAAGTATTCAGAAAAAGCCTCCCCTGCTATAAACTCTCAAATTCTATGAAGCCTGATAGTTTGTAGTTAAAGAATTAGTGCTTTAAGGTGGAAGTAATTAATTTATTACACTTCCTTTTGTAATACAAATGCATTTGATGGGTCATCTGTATGCTATGAAGTGATGAGGGATGGGTTGTGCAGTGATGTGCAAGTAGCAGAATCTTAAATTGTGATATGGCGTGTGGGGGCTTGGCATTGGTGATATTTGAGTCTGCGAAACTTCCCGAATTTGGCATTGTTCTGGCAAATGTTAGCTTGGAGATGGAAGTAGTATGGGAGAGGCAGGGAGTACAATTTCCATCGCTTTTGAAAGACAACATGATACACTTGGAAATAAAGTGCTAGAGAAACTGAGTATTTCTGTGTCTGGTAGTTTTAAGTATTTATTTAGTTCCACTTAACTAATTTCCTGCTCATTTTAACAAGGCAAAGTCTTTACCTTAACAGCTTCTTTTTAAATTTTAGACTTACAGAGGAGAGGTATTTACAAAGCAGAGTATGCCTGCGTACCCTCCACTCAGCATGTTCAAAGGTTAAAATCTTATGTCACCATGATCTCTCAGTTACCAATAACCAATAGTAAAACTATCAGTGCAAAGCAAGTCACACTGCTGCAGTGTCATTAACTAAGTTACCCGTTTCATTCAGGTTTCCCTGGTTTCTGCTGATGTCCGCTCTGTTCTGGGAGCCAATCAATCCCAGTACCTCACTGCACTTCAGTTCATCCCCACATCGACTTAGAGTCCTCTGGTGTGCCGTGGTTCTTCAGGGACTTTCTGTTCTTTCCGACTGAAGAGAACTGGCTGGATTTTTGCAGGACATCTTTTAATTTGGGGTTCTCAGATCTTTTCTCATGCTTTGACAGAACTTATATATTGGGAGGAGAATCTCACAGAGCTGAGGTGCCCTTCTTTATAGGGGTACACTATTTCAGTATGTCTTATTACTACTGACAGTAACCTCAATCATTTGGTTAAGAGGACTCGTATCATAGTTCTTTACTATTTTTCTTTTTCCATACATTATTCAATGAATCACTTGAGCAAGGGGAGGAAAATTTGTTTACCTCTGTAAGGAAAATTAACGATTTGTTGGTATATGATCAAATCACCACAGTAATTAGTATGTATTTTGGGAGCAACACTTTGAGGATATAAAAGTATCATTCTTATTTTTAAAATTTTGCCCATTTACTTTAATATATACATAACAGTATTTCTTATCTGGCACAGTCATTACTGTTGTGTTTGTGTGTTTCTGTTATTTCCCTCATTCATACATTTATTAACTGGAATTCCTCTGTAAGAATTGCTCCTATCAATATTTGTTTTAAAACTCAAACTGTTCCACTTTTTTGTAGTTTTGTAATTCTCTTGGGTTGTTATGAATGTTTAACTATGTCCCTCATCCATTCATTTTGTCTATCTATCCATCTATCATGTTGCTCTGTATTATATCATTACATCCTAGCACCATGAGATGCCTACTCGAGGCTCATTTTGTATTTTCCATGTGAAGACACAGAATCAGCCATTTTTCCAGGACTCCTGACTACATTTATTGGAGAATGGCGATAGACATCAAGATCTGGGTGTTAGTAGAAATACTTGTCACAAATAGAGTGACAGTACTTCTAAATTCAGCAGACACTGTTAAGAACTGCATACATGACTTATTAGCCCCTGTGTACACACATACCTACATTTATATGACATATATATATATATATATATACACACACACATTTCAGACATACATATGTGTCACACACACATAAACACACATATATATTATCTCATATATATATATATATATATATATATGAGTTCATATTGATATCTCTAACTTTATTCATTCATGACGTGACTCTTTCTAGCATATGACCTTGCTTATTTATTTTGCAGTGGAAAAACCAATTTCCATTATTTGTAATATGCTACCTGTTTTGTTCTACCCTAACATACATGTAATACTGCTTTTGGAATCATTAATTATAACCTAATGAATGATGAATTTGCCAGCTATGGCAGAAGTTTTAAGTTGTTAGCCTGATAGTATCAAATCAGAACACAATTTTGGAAAGTTACTTAGATCAGCTTCTTTCTTCCTCACTCATTTCAGTGTATTATGTGATTCATTTGTTACTCAGACACATTTCTGAGTCTGCATTCATCTTGGGTTTTCATGATCTCCTGTTATATTTTAGAACTTTGCATACCATAAAGTTAATCTTCTGTGGTGCACATTTCAGTGGGTTTTGACAAATGCAGAACTGTGAATATTCTACAATGCAGATTAATTTCATTGCCCCCAAAATGAACAGCAAACTGTTTTGAAAGAAAAAAAAATAGATAAAACATGAGCAACTCCTCAAGGTTTAATCAAATTCCTTTAAACATGCCTGTGAATCATGTGCTGGTCTGGGTCATAATTTTATTCTTTACTGATCCCAGTTTTTGCAGGGAATATAGCACCCAGCAAAACATCATCCACTGTACGCAGGTCTCTACTAAAGTCTCTTGTATTCCAAGATAGTTGAGATTAACATTCTGATAAAAAAAATCTTCGGACATTCTAAATGCTGTGATGTTCACAGGGCTTCAAAGATCTAGGAGTGGAAATGCTTTTCAAGCTCATACTCTGTAACCCACTGGCTACTACATTCTATCCCACTGGTCCTCAAAATATTGTTCAATGACCAGCTGTGTGGTCTTATCACTTGATCTCTGATGTTTAAGGATGTTACCCTGTTGACTTATCTTTGGTACTGGGACTCAAACTCATGACCTCACACTTGCCAGGCAGGCTCTGTGCTGCTGGGGTATAATCCCAGCCCATCCTGTTGTACTTCTTACTAAGAGTCTATGTGGTTGATGGTGATGACAATAATAATAGTTGAAAGTCACAACTTCTAAAGAACTTTTATGCTCTTTGCATGTGGCACTTTACAATGGTACCAAAAGATATTAAGGTCACCTATTACTACAATCTTTATAAGTACAGATGGGAAAGCTAAGTCCTCAGAGATTATCTCAAGGATTAGAAAACTAATAAATGGCAGAGATTGTATATAAGCTCAGCTCTTTTCAAATTTTTTACTATTCCTCTTATCTATGTTGAAGCTCTTCAGTGCTATCAAAGGAGAAAACAAAATGAACACATGACCTTAACATGTCCTAGGCACTTCATAACTTTTCATTTGTGTATCTCATCTGATTTTCTGGTGCCCTCGGAATTTTTTATGATAAATACTACCAGTTGAGGATAGTAGGACTGTGAGAAACAAAGCAGCTTTCCAACAGTCATCTAGCAATTTCACTTTCAAACTGTCTACACATTGAATTTATTTTGACTAGATCACACTGAGATTTTGTGAAAGTGATTATTATTATTCTGTCTCTCCAATCCAACATGTTGCATTTCATGGAGGGGAACAATTTGCACTTTATGAAGGACCATTCAAGACTGAGTAGCCATGAAAAGTGAATGGATACAATGCCAGGTAAAGGGTAAGCTTTACACCCCTTCCTGTCCCTGAAAGTTTCCTGACTTTTGATTTCCACCCCTTTGAAAGGTAGACTGAAGGGAAAAAAGTTCTAAGCACTTTAATAAAGAATGTGTTTTTGTATTTCTAGATATAACTGGATTTGAATCAGGCTCCAGTTTACACTAGCTTATGAATTTGACCAAGTTGTTTAATGATTGAGCTTGGACTCAATTTTATATTCTCAAAAATGGAGACACTGTCTCATTGGGTTGCATTAAAGATCAAATATATAATATATATAAAGTGCATAGTACATCCTGGTGGTGATCCTAAGATTAGGTCTTAAGCCATGTGGTTTTCACCCTCGCTAAGCCATTTAGCAGGGCCTCTTTCAATCCTCACCCATTAATTAAAGGAGTGTAGGAAGTTTATCATAGATGTTATTCAAGCAAATCTGTAACAAAGATCCCTGGTGCCATTAATGTTGGATTTTGTTTCTGTTATGTTTTTCTTGTGGCAGTGAGGAGGATTAAACTCAGGGCTTGATCACGCTAAAAAAAATCGTCTACAACTGACTTACATCTTCAGCCATTGCAGTTAATAATTTTGACTCAGCTTTCAAATTTTCCAATAACAAAGTGGCTATACATCTTGATTTATCTGAGATAATCCTCATATAAATTTTAATAAGATCCCCATTTTCCTCTCAAAAACGTCCTAGTTTGAATGACAAACAGTATGATCATACCAGTTAAAAAGAATATTTTTCCTTGTATACAGTAGTTTCACTGTATTTTATAGTTTAAAGATACACAAAAGACACTAACTGAACTGGGGGAACAAAGCATTAAAAGAAATATTCATTTGAAATAGAAACAGTTTGGTTCTTGGTTTTTGATACCAGTAGTTCCCCATACACCATGAATCTAAATATAGAGATACTCAAACGTCTCTTTACTCAACATTGGCTTCTAGAATTTTCAGTGTCCAACAAATGGCTCAGGTGTCCTGTCAGTGTATGTTCTGCCCACATCAAAAGGAGAAAAAGTGACAAAAATTATTTTTAAATCTTTTTTCATGAATATCCATAAATGTAGCTTTCCTTAATTATGGAGATGATGGGGACAGATCACATGTTTGCTAGTTTAATAAACTTAACCGTAACCGTCCTTTTGACTGGGAAATCGCGATTCCTTCGGTAGAGGTCATTTTGAATCGGTTCCCTTGATGTTTGTAGGCTGAGGTGACATGGAGGAGCAAAGACACACTAATGACAAGTCCTTGAAATTCTTCTGTATATTTCCCTAGCTAAAAAGCTTTCTAGTGACAAGGCAGTCGTCAGGGGTTTGGTTCAGGTTATCATTAAGAAATATCACAGGGTTTTTTTTTTTTTTTTTTTTTTTTTGACTAATAATAATTATGGGTGGCAATGAAAAGAACAGTCTTTTTCAGTAGAACTTGCTCTACTTGGTTTTCTGCTATTATTCTGGCACACATTTGAGGGTATGAATTTCTGTTAGAATTTAGAGAGCGCTTGTTTTTCTTCAAAGCAATGTATGTAAATCTTTAGCTTTACCTTGTTGCTTTTTTGTTTCTAGAGCAGGAATAGCAAATACAATACAGTGCTTACCACCAACTCCATCACCTAACAATACAAATAACCTCCTTCCTTTCTCTGCAATCTCCTTTTTCTCTCTATCAAGACAGTTTTTTTTCCAGCTGAGCAGTCTTAACTTTGAATAAATCTATATATTCAAGTACAAGACTCTTTCTTTCTTTTTCTCTTTCTCTTTTTCTCTTTCTCCTTTTCTCTCTTTCACTTTCTTTCTCCCTTCCTTCCTTCCTTCCTTCCTTCCTTCCTTCCTTCCTTCCTTCCTTCCTTTCAGATCTCATTTACATTTAACAGTTGCTGTAGGAAATTGCTTGGCTATCCAGCTCATTCTGTGTGGTTGAAGGGTTTTCTCCTACTTTCCTTAAGTCATCGGTAGAGGTAAGAGCACCAGTTCAGTTGATTTTTGATGGGGTATGCCATGGTGACAGTCCAAGTCTCACTCATTCCTGCATGAAAATGTCTTTCTTGGCCCTGCACCTCGTGGACTGCAGCCCAACTGCTGCTCTGCTCCTGTTCTCTGGCCTTTTAGTTCTAGGGCCAGGATCCAGACATCCAGTTTACCTGGCTCACGTCCTTCTCTCAGCAGAGGAACTCTGAGATACTGAACTATTAGTTGTTCATGGGGCTTCACAGTTGTCGCACATTCACATTCACATCTGCTGTTTCATTGACTGAAACAAATCACGTGTTTGCTGATGTCACATATGAGGGAGGCTTTGCACAATATTTGGAGACAAAGATGAATAATCTTTTTTTAGTAGGTAAGTGAATATGCATGAATGATAATAGCATCTCACATAGAAATATGTTTGTTTATAAAAGTCATGTTCCATGAAATGTTTCAAAATAGAGAGACAGACCTACCTTCTCTCTAGTGCATCCAGAGATTCCATATTTCCTGGTAATTCTGGGAGACACTGAATCTCCTGCAAAGCTATATGCTTAGATTGCTCCAGGGCGCTGGCAAACAAATGGCCAGTGCATGAACCCAAGAAATGGCTGATTTTTTTTTCCCTCAGTGCTTTTATGCTGCTTTGCACCTGGACTCTGTGAGTTAGATCAGAGAAAGCCCTCAGAGCATTTCTGCAGAATAGTGCTCTAAATGCCCACATAATTTTAATTACAGACCAAGCTTAAATGGATAATTTAAAATATGCTCCAATCATACAGAGGGACAGTAAATTATCATCTATTATTGACTGAATGAACTGGAAAGACAAATAAATCGTTGCTAGGCCTTTTACTATCATTTTGAGAAGTAGAAGAACATAAAAATGATAAAAATATGAGCCACGAAAATGTAGGAGCAAGATTTTTGTTGTTTTGATTTTTTTTTTTTTTTTTTTTTTTTTTTTTGTTATACTGTCTTAACAGAGGTAAGTTTGAAACCAGTAAAGGAGTACATTTTTCCCCCCTGGGAAACATTGCCTATCTAGTGTAAAAGAAGGTGAAGAATTTAATCAATAATTTTTAGCATTTGAGAACCAGTAGCAGTAGTTGAGATAAGAAAAGAGAAACTCATAGTACCCAGCCAAAGTTTGGGGGACTTGTCCCAGCAGGTTGACACAAGAGGACTTGAAAATGATACACTGCTGGTGTCTTTTGTCCTGATGATAGGTGACAGACAGCTCTACAGAACAGACATACACACAAGGGAAGAACAGAGAGAAAAAGACCAACATTTCAAAGTAAATGTCTCCTAGGCTTGGAGATGGCAGGATGCAGGGAAAAGTGTTTGGCTTTTTTAAAATGCCTCTACAATTTCAGTTTAAAACTTTAGCTTCTCATCAGATATTTTCAGAAATGCAAAATCTCAGGCCCTAGTTCAGATCTACTATATTAGAACTTGATTTTAACAAGACCCCAGGGGAAGTGTATGTACTTTCAGGGTTAGAAATCGCTACTTCAGGATGACTATGTCCTTGCTAGGGAATGTGTGTATATTATTTACATAATAATCACTACAACTTACAGCTGACCCCATTCAAAGACGACCTAGATTGAAGTCTCAAACACTGGGTAAAAATTATATACATAGGAAAGCAGTGACTTAAGAATCTGGACTCATTTCTGTGACTTCACGATCTTTATTTCCTCTGAATTGTATTATGTTTTATTGTTGCCAAGAACTAGGGGGAAAATAAAAGCCCTTCTTGGTTAACACCTCAGTTCTCTTACAAATTCCAGTATCTTCTACACTCACATTTTATTTTTTCCTTCCTCTTTTCTCTTCATATTCACAGGTCCAAAGGTATTTTAGGCACAAATACATATACATCTCCTCCCCCATGTACACAAACTTTCAAAAATGTAAACAAGATTCCCACTTAGAGTTCAAAGAAATAAGGAAAGTGTTTATGGACAATTTTAGGAGATTGATTCTGGGTGCCAACACTTTTCATAAAATTCTCCAGGCAGTAAATAGAATGTGGAAGTAATAAAATATTTATAACTATGTCCCACAAGTTTAAAACCAGACTCCATTGATCAGAATGTAATCACTGACTCAGAGCTATAAGAAGATTTCGAGATAATCTCATCCCACATCCTGAGACCTTAGGTGACTTTCCAAGCTCCTCTGTCACCCAGCCATGATTAAAAGCCAGGTCTTCTGATTCCTAATTTAGGGTGCATCCATTTCTGTTGGGTATTGTGCATTACCAACGGAAGTGTAGAGTAACTAACTGTCCATTAGGAACACTATGGGAACATACATTTTGCACAACATTGCACTATGCAGAATTGGTACTGAGCTCTTCTTCCCTAAGCAGCCAATGCCCCATTTTTTGAGAGGTAACTGGGTAGAATAAAATGGTCACAAAGCAAACACTCCCTACTGGGTCTTGGAAGAGAGCCATGCTTTCATGGCTTTGAGCCTTTCTATGAATTCTTTCCAAAAGCAGTGTTGGATCAGATTTCCACTGAGCTCCTACTTGACTTAATCCTTGGCTTGGGGTTACTACAGAATTAAGGCATATTCAAAAGAAAAGAAAAGGGAGAAATGAACAGCTGGAGTTTGTGTGCTTATGCATGTTTCTGTGTATGTATACACAATAGTTTAAGCCTGGCTAAGACTTTTATGATTCATGTCATTTCTTGTATACCGACTTCAGCTTGGTTCTTAGTGGTTTTCAGTAATAAGCTATTTGCTTAGCAGGGAAAATAAGTGTCTCTCCCTGTGATTGCCAAAATTGTGTTGGTCTCTGTGCGGAGCACATTTCGTCATTAGGAACTCAGGTCCTCTAAATAGGACAGAGCAACAAGTATTGGCCTGCAGACAGGCACACGCAGAGTGCCAGCTGACTCTTCAGTTCCTTCGCCAGGTATGCAGAAAAGAGAAGAAAAAGAAACAGCAAAGGCGCTTAGGAAAAGAACAGAAACATGAAATAAATATGATGGATGGAGTGGAGGATGGAAATATCGGAAAACAGAGCATCGTGCTAGGACAAAGGAGTCACATCAGGCTGGGATGTAGGTTGCCCTAACCTGTTTAATTGATTTGTATAATTCTTAAGCTTTGCAGATTTCTTTTCATAAAATGCTTTAATCTTGCTAACCTGTCTCCATCTATGCAACAAATCCTAAAAAAATGCATGTTGTGATTTACCACGGTGGTGTGCAGACTGGGCCACATGAAGATAGAAAAGGAGCCTGGATACAGGCTGCCGCTGTGGAAGAACACCCAGGATTGCTGGCAACTGTGAAAGGTGAGGAAGTGGGCAAAGAATCAAATCCCCCAGAGGAAACACCTCCGCCAAATCCTTGATGTGGGACTTCTGGCTCTGGAACCACAGCAGCATAGATTGCTGCTGTGTTAAGCCATCAAGTTTGTAATCATTTGCTACTGCAAGCCTAGGAGATTACTATAGATATTTGAGGTGTGCAGATTTTTGTACTATGTTTAGCTTTAAAGGATCTGCCTTTCAGTATGGCAGTTTGTTGTTAGAAAAAGGTATCAACAAGCGAGGGAACATTTCATAGTTTTTTGTGTATTCTATATATGAAGGAAATGTAGTCACGGAGCAGGCAGGAATTCATCCTTGGCTCAGGTTTTTAAAAAAGTCATCTATTAATTTTATGTCATTCTTTGTCAGAGAATTGCTGAAAGGCCTGATGTACATCTGCTCATTCATTTCCAAAGCGTTACACCATGAAGCTGATATGTCCCGTCTTCCAATTAAATGTGTGCTAGTAAGGAACAGAGTTGAATTTGAACCCGAGTCTCTGTAGTTTAATTAAGCGTGGCTTTAAACAGTGAGCAGTCATCTCTACCTGTAAAGAGCCGGGCTGTGAGGATCTGGGGCTTTGGGTGGTGGGTGGTAAATGGTCATCTTCTCAGCAAGTTCTCAGCTCTGGTTGTAAATTGCCATGGAGCACACCAGCAAGGCTCTGTTCCAGTGAAACTTTACTTACTGGCACTGAAATTTGAAGTTAATGTGATTTTCATGTGTCCAGAAATATTATTCTTTTGATTTATTCAAGTATTGAAAAATACAAAAGCCTTTCTTAGCTCATGGGCCATATATGCAAACAAACAAATAAAAAAACCCAAGTGGAAGTTACATGTTGCTTCTTTGCTTTTATCATAACAGAAAGAGAGGGCCAGCCATAGAAAAAGTCCTAGAAAGTGAAATGAAAAAGTACACATTTGTATGATGCAAGGTTTTCACTTATTTGAATTTGAAATCAAAGCTCTCATTTGTTTTTAGTGTCTTGGCGGGGGCTATATTTCCTGAACTTGGAACATTTTAAGGAACTGGCACACCTCTTTCACAACACAGGTTGAAAATATTTCCCCTCCACAATAATGTGAGACTCTCAGTTAATTAGTCATGAAGGTCTTCCAGGAGAAAGAAAGGAGTGAGGCTTTGTGTAGAGAGGATGTGGGTGGAGGTTGGAATGCAGAAGGATTTATTCATAGCTCCTTATCCTGTAGAGATATGCTCCAAAATGTTCCCCACATGCCTCCAAATGCAGATATTACTAAATATTACATATAATCTACCACACTTGTCCCTGTGTATACACATATAACTATGATATAGTTGAATCTATAAATTCGACACACTAAGAGATGAACAACAGCTAGTGCTTGCGTTTGCTAATATAGAGGGACTTGTCAAAGAGCTATTGGAGATGGAGGGAAAGCAGTTTACAAAACATAATGTGAGGGGATGCTGGAGAGATTCCAGGGACGGACAGGACCAAAGGCCACCTTGGAGTTAGTTTCTGGTCAGCAGCGTGTCTTGCCTTCAAAATAGCTACAAGGAGGGAACAAGTCAGCTGATCTCTGGCAGGAACTCTGCCAGCAAGCATGCACTTCTCATTTCCTTCCTGTGACTCACATGCATATCATGACTAACCTTAGGCAAAATATGAGACTTCTAAATCCCTTCTTCACTCCTTTCACCCCATGTAGGCAGCACGTCACTGTAAGAACAGGATACCTGCAAAGGTCACAGGACCCTTGGCCTCAGCTTCCTGAGACTGATGTTATGAGAGGCACAGTACACAAACTCAAACCAGAAAAAAGGGATGTTGACATTCTTCCTTGTTAATATGCTGAACTTGTGGTATGGTATACAGCTCTTGTTTTCCCTATCATCACATTAAAACGTTTGAATGTCCAAAAAATCCATTAAAAAGTTTGAACGCCCCAAAAAACCAATCTATTATTACATAAAGAGGCATATTTGCTGCTGGTGATGCAGAGATGGAGAATACAATAAAGCTCAGAATCTAAATATTAATTAAGCATTAGGGATTGTTTTAGTTCAGTCAGGATGCTGTAACAAAATGCCAGAGACAAGATAGTTTATAAAGAACAGGATTTTTGTGAAAACACAATCAAGTGTAAGGCAAATTCAGGGTCAGATAAGAGCCTATTCTTTATAGATGGCTGTATCCTCTCATGGTGGAAGGGGTAAATATGCTCTCTGAGGGTTCTTTCACAAGGGCAATAATCCCATTCAATTGTTTAAATGAATAATTTGTTTAAATAAATAATCCCAATCTAATTGTTTACCAAAGACTCTGCCTCCAGTTATTATGTTGGGGTTAGGATTTTAATTTAGAGGCAAAAATAAACATTCAGTCTTGACCCACTTATAGGAAAATCCATGTGTTAAGTGAAATAAATCGGACACACAAGCTAAATATTGCATAATTTCTCCTAAATGAGAAACCTTAATTCCAAAAAGTAAAACGAAAGATAATAGGAAGAAAAGAAGTACATCTCTCCCAAATGGCAAGGGGAGCAAGAGACAGAAGGAGGGTACAAAGAAAGGAATTAAGATAAGTTATGTATATATACCAATTCCTTGCAAGGAATATAAGTCTTATGGACTTCACATGTGTACTAATAACAAACAGACTTAAAAATTCAGCCTACAGCAATCTGATTTTTTGAGGACAGTTGGAAGAAAAAACAATCTTTGAGAAAAATGCCTCAATTTTATTTACAGCAATGCAGACCCAAGATTCTTTTTGGTTGTTTTTCTTTCCTTTTTACCCCTATTTCTATCATATCCCACAGCCATCTGCTTGAGATAAAAATTGATTAAGTATTGCAGAGTTTGGTGCAATTTCCAACGTGTATTTTTTATATAGATTGTGCTCTGAATGTAGTAGCTGAGTTTTAGAAAAATAGCTTGAGGGAAGATTGTTCTAAAAATAATATTTCTAGCAAAAGGCAGAAATTATACAGAAATTGATAAGCATTTTCTATTGCCTATACTTTAATCTAATAGTTGAAGTTTTTGAACTGTTGCATTTTCTAGTAATAATGTATATATGAGGACTTTTTCCTGCTTTGTTGATACTGAGGATAAAATTCAGGTAAACTGAATTTGCTCTCCTACTTTTAATTTTCACAGTATTCTGTGTTATATGAAATGCTACATTTCATATAATAATTGATTTTGTTTTATTTTTTACTCACAGTAAAGTCTAGAAGTGAAATATAACACGAGTGTCTGTTTCTTACTCTGCCAATTTGCCTGCTGAAATCCTAAACCCCAATATGGTCATAGTGGAACATGGGGTGTTTGAGAAATAATTAGTTCATGAAATGGGTCCTTTTAAATGACATCAATGTTCTTATAAAAAGGGACACAAGAGCATTCTCTCACCTTCCATCACATAAGGATACAATCAGAAGTGAACAATACTCTATAACCCTGAAAGAGACACACAGCAAAACACAGCCATGCTGGCAATCCTGATCCTGGCCTTCCAGCTTCAAATCTGTAGGAAGCAAATTTCTGTTTTTAGTAAGCCACCTAATCTATGGTGCTTTGTTCTAGTAGCCTGACCTGACTAAGACAACTGGTAGAACAATGTAAAATCTCAAGAATCATAATGATAAAATTACTGTCGCACCATTGAATTTCACTGCCAAGGAAATTCTATTTATTGTCAGTTAAATTATTGATTTCCTCAGCTGTTATAAAGAAGCTGTTTTATTAACTTCCTATGAATTGTGCCTCTTTGATGGGATGTAAAATCAGAGAGCCCTTCCTTCTACCTCAGGGTGCGATGATTGCTAATGAAGACTCTCTGTACCCCTGATGCTAGTTTTCACATTTGCCTTCAAACCCGGGCAGAAAATTCCCGAAGCAAGGGTAGCCATGGGTTTCCAGACATCTCTGAGGCCCTGGGAGGTCACCGACATGTTCCAGATGAGCAAGCTTATGTTTATTTTTCCATTATTAGAAAACTATTTATTGATGTTACTGTGAGACAAGCCCCAGAAAAGGGTTAGGTTTGCAGAGGTAAATGAAAACATACATGGAGGTATGAATAAACACTTCAAAACAATTAAGAAAACACACACACGTACATAATAGCAAGTATGCATATATTATATATAGACATCTGCGTGTGTGAATATATCTGTATTTCAAGTCGTTACAAAAATATGTTGTATGTGTAAATACGTTATGTGTGCGTGTATGGATAGATATGTCAGTAATGTAACACATAACTTTTAAATCTGTTGTTAGGAATAATACATGAATCTTACGGAACGTGATAAATGAACTTCAGATAATAAAGAATTGTGAAAAAAAGAAAACTTAGTAATGTGGTGGAAGGAGAATTTGAGAGAGAGGGAAAGAGGAAACAGGAGAGTAAGCACAGTTTGAATTAGGAAGACAGAAAAACTGTGTTGAGCAGTTAACATGAGGTTGAGTACATTTCAGGGAGAAATAAATGAAGAAATTTATCACTGTTATCGTTGCAATAATGTGGTGTCTCTCCCGCACAGTTAAGAAAGTCTTCCGTAATGATCTAGATAACTGCTAACAGCTTTTAGTTTATTTATTTATTAAAACAAAACATCTCAGCTTTATTGAGGTTACACATGGTCCTTGCTTTCAGGAAATGTGGAGTTGAAGTGACAAGCATCTAGTGCTTGATTCTACCAGTTTCCTTTGGAGAAAGAGAGCTATAGCATGTCTCATTGGCAAAAGGGGACAGAAGGTTTCATCATATGTGAAGCTCCTGAGGGATTCCCTTTCTGGCTCAGCTGGAAACTACTGATTGGAACCATATTTCAGGTGACCTCAGGACTGTTCAGACCAAAATGTGGCTGAACATTTTCTCCTTTCTGACTTCAGCCTGTTTCTTTCCCAGGGGTAGTGGTAAAACCGCTGAATTCACCGAACAAAATCCTCTCTTCATATCTGCCCCTAATTAATTCTTGGACTCCTTACTAGACCTCTTGATACCTGCTTCCTCTCAGCACACACATGCACACACATACACATGTGCGTGCATACACACACACGTACACATACACACACGCACACACATGCACACATACACACACATACACACTGTCCCTATGTAAGAGAATTTGAGGACAAAACAAAATGTTTTAAAACAGTGTAACTATAAAAATCTTATTGGTTTTCTGACTCTGGTGACACATGTAGGACTTTCCAAGGAGAACATGATGATTGAACTTAACTGTCACTTTGACTGAGCTTGAGATCTGCCCTGGGGATTCATAAAGCAGACATTTTGGTATGTCTGGTGGATCATGGAAGCTTGACCTTGGCTTCTATATGTGTTCTCCAGCTCCTTGTTCTCTGGAATTATTCTCCTCTCTACTCCCAGGATCTCATGAACTGAGCAGCTGTCTTCTACCAAGCCCTTCTACTGTGAAGTTCTTGCCTTGAACCAGAAAACCAGGGACTGAATCCTCTGAAATCATGAGCTGAACTAAACCTCTCCTCCTTTAAATTGTTGTGTCTCTGCAATGCAAAAATTAGGGAGCTTGTGATAGAAAACAATTCTTAAAAGGAATCATTTAGCAACTTTTGTCTTTTAAAACAAGAAAATGTCTCTAATTTATCACATTATTAGACTTCAGTTTTTTTATACCTACCCTTTTACTTTTGACAAGTGACACAAGTTACACTTATACATTCACACCACAGAACATCTCACAGAGCTGTAACGGTGTCCTCCCTATCTCAAACTACAGCTTATTGGTGATCTTCAAACACCTTCTTTTCCACTAGTTCTAGTACAAGACAATGGATCTATATGGCTTTAAATGAAATAAAATTACCTACATCAATAAAATGTGAAGGGACATATAGCAATTTTATAGTAGTGAAATATGATTTTCAGATAGAAAACAATATATAGTGTCTATGTTATAAATAATTTTTTAATTACATAATTTTAGTGGTTAATTATTTCTTATTGCAGAGTATGTTAAATACTATTTTAAAATTGGTTTACGTACAGTAGTTTATTACTATTTCTTTTTAGAGGAGAAATATTTCTCTACGATTCCACCACCTCTCCTCTCATGTATCTGAAGATACATAAGTGAATTTGATAAGCAAGTTTTCCTAATTTACAGAGGAAAACTAATAGAATATTTTACCAAATTGAGGGCAGTTACCATAGTATTTAGTTAGTACCTGATGGCTTACCCACAGCTTCGGAATTGTTTATTTGCTTCTGTTGTGTTTATATAGTTTCCTTTTAGATTCATAGAAAAAGGCACTGCTGATTCTCTTTTTCTCTCTCTTTTTCTGATGTTGCTGCTGCTGCTGCTGAGAATTAAAGAAAAAAACCCAAGACCTTTCACATGTTACACGTGCATTTAATTTCTGAGCTACACTCTCAGCCCGACAGTGTTTACCTTTTTAATTTATCATGTCCTCTTCTGTTTGGTTTTCAGGTTATGTCAATCTACATAGTCCAGGCTGAACTTGAGCTCACTCTGTAGCTCAGCTTGGCCTTGAACTTGTAGTTATCCTTCTGCCTCAGTCTTCCAAGCATTGGAATTACAAGTGAGTGCCACACATCCAACTCCCACTTTTGTGTTTGATTCTACGAATGTTTGCTAACTACCAGATTGGACTGATGGTGTGTCAAGAGGTAAAGGGAAGTTTTCATTTTAGACCTTGTATTAAATAGCATAGATTCATGAGATAAGAGCTCATATCTCTTGTGAAAATTAATATTAGAAAGTAGGACACACTTTTGCTATAAATAGCATTTTACCATCATTTCCTTCTTATGCATAAATATATTTTATCTAAAGTTCTCTGAAAGTCAAAATGAAGGGTCCCCTATGGGTACCATTGCCTCACATGGTACAGTTAGGAAAGTTGCCATCACATTATTTAATCAATACAGAACTGGTCTCATAAATTCCTGACACACCAGGATGTCTTTTTAATCACAGTCTGAATTGGCAGCAGGATTTACCAATTCTTAAAAAAACAAATACTAGATTTCTGTATGATTGGTCAATCACTTTTGCCACAATCAAAATTAAAGTAAATTAACCAAAACCTACAAAAGCACAATCACATCCAGAACATAAATAAGGAATGAAATAAAATGTGGAACAAGGTGATAGATCTTTTGCAAAAGGAAAGGGGATTAAGGGATGGAAGGAAGGAGAGGGAAAGGGTAGGAGATGAGCAGAGAGTTAAAATGTTTGATGTATGCGTTCCAACACAACATGATGTGGCTAATCATTACATACTACAAACATGTAACAAAATAAAAATTAATAATTGAAATGTGAGCTCATTAAGCATAAACAATACTATTAAAGTACATTTGTGGCACGCAAAGTTTCTAAAGTCAAGGCTATCAAATTCGCACAAACTGATACGCTTTTCCTGTGTCACAGTTAATTTTTAATGCAGTACTGAGTCCAAGACCAGAATGAGGCGGAGGAGGCTGACTTGCCTTGATACTGCACGTTCCCACTATGCTTCTGTCATGCATTGGAGCCTTAAGTTTTCAAACTGACGTGGGACATCAGCCTTTGTCTTTTATATTACAATGGTGATGATTTCTGGCTTGAACTAGGCTTTATTTAGCTGCACTGCAAGTTATTCATTAGCATTTAAAACTAACAAGCCATCTATCAGCTCTGCGGACCTCTCTGATCCCTACTCCTTCCTCTTAATCACAATGAAAGTGTCATTAGGCTGTGATACACAGCAAGTCTAAACAGAGGCAGAGAGTGCCCTGTTGGGGTTCTGAGAAATTCTCATTGCTCCTGAGGAGGAGGAGACTGCACAACACACCTGAAATACAGGCTCTGCTCATACCGAGACCATGCCAGTACCGCTGGTGAGTCAGGGGGCCTGTGTGTCTAATGTGAGTCCAATCCTTCTCTCTTCGCTCGCTCCTGTCTCTCTCTCCACTCTCTCTCCCTTCTCTTCTCTCTCCTCTCTCTCTCTCTTCTCTCTCCCTCTCCACTCTGTCTCTCTTTTCTCTTTCTCTCACCTCTGTCTCTGTCTCCCTCTCTTCTGTCTGTCCCTTTCTCCTCTCTCTCACCTCTCTCTGTCTCTGTCTATACTCTGTCTCTGTCTCTCTCTATCTCTCTCTTCTCTGTCTCTCTCTGTTTGTCTCTCTCTTGTGTCTGTCCTTGCCTCTTTCTCTCTCTCTCTGTCTGTCTGTCTCTGTCCCTGTCTCCCCCACTCCCCCTGACTCTCTACATATATATTTCCAGTATTCTGAACAGGAGTTAATATGCTCAGCACCAGTGTCTCTCACATTAACTCTTTTCTCACTATTGGGAAAATGAAAGCATCTGTTATATTCAGTTGTTAGGCCTTTTTTCCCCCACTACAAATGCTCGCTTAATCAACCCTGGATTACCAACATAGGGAAGGGGCTGGCCATGTGTAAATGAGATCTGAAGGCGTTAAATCAGAGATGTATAAGTATATATTCATTTAAATCTCTTGGCGTGCTCAAGCATTTTTTTTAAACAAACATGTAAGTGTATTAACTTTCAGGAGGTTGGAATTACTGTTGTTGAAAGAATACTAGTTACTAAATGTGCCTGCCTGCACGTATCACTGTGATTAGGTGCTAATAAATGAATAAACTTAGCTCTTTGCTTTCTGGGTTGTTACATTGTCAAAGGGACTCAGAGAGGAGTAATCAATGAACACTTGATAAAGGGTGACTATTTAGATTGGTTTGGTAATATCATTTTAAAAGCAATTTTCAGCTACTGATAGCACTGAAAAGAATATGCTCCCAGAAAAGATTAGGAAACCTTCAGAGGCAGAATGCTTATAAAAATAAAGGACTTTTTGTTTGTTTATTTTGAGAATCCTTAAGTACGAAGGGCCTTACCTTCCTCCATAGGGAGTCACACAGTAGCACTTGGTCTGGCTTAGGGACACTGGTGAACATGCCTACTGTGGGCAGAAACTACCATGTGTTTGATGTTGCACTAAAGAGCAAGTAGCGATATAGAATCAGTCAAACCACATGGCTAAAGAAAATAAAGTCAACAAGCAAATTAGGAGTGGATGACTCAAAGGTGAATATCACATATGCATTCTTCACAGGAAAGGCGGACAGCATTAGTGGATACGAGGTACATCTTTTCAGGTTGCAAAATGAATGAAGCAACACTGATTTTAGACTAATGCCACTACAGAGTTGGTTTATTTTTTTCTGATTTCACTGTTATGTCCCTGTGGTCCCCAAACAACCTTCTGATTGTGATTTGTTGTCTCATGTAGACTTGTCTCTATAGAGAGAATGCTTGATCCTGTAGAGTTCAAGTAGATCCTGTCCTCGGACCAAGAATTAATAAAATGATGGCTGATTTTGATGGCTTTCTTTTAGAGACTGAATGAACTGATCATGCCATATATATTACAATCCAAGTCAGTGCCTCGCTATAAATTAAAAAAAAATAGATATTCTAGAGTCTACTTAGAATGCATGTTCCTGTCTTTTGTACTTTTAGACAGCATCACTTTGTTATATTTTGCTAAGCCCTGGGAAGTAGACGATAAAGACCCTGTGAGTGTGTGAGACAGAATTGTAGAAGTTAGAAGACAGTGACCAATGAAACCTATTGAGATTAACCGAGACCCTTACTCTTTAATTAACTGTGATCCTTGAACTCATGGTATCTTGCAAGACAAGAAGGTGAAGAAATTGAGAATTTCACCCTCTGGTATACTATCACTGAACGGGAGCACATTTTAACAAGCTCATTGCATTATTTCTGTGCATAATAAACTTTAAGAAGCACCCTGGACATTTCAACCACCAGTTTCATCTCTCGATCTACACAGATTCTCAGGGGATACTCCTTCATGTATCTCTAGTACTGCTACATGCTTTGTTGTGACATATTTGTTGGGAATGCCAGGAATCAAACTTTTAACTAAAAGATGAAAAGAAAAAACTCTTACTCACACCATCTTGTGGGATGAGACAGTGTCTTTGGAGACGAAGAAAACACTGCATTCCTGAACTCAGTGTTCTCTCGGAACAGGAAACACTGCCTGTACAGATATCCATCTAGGGAATCCATGTTACTCCTATGGAGTCAGGGCTCAAATCAAGACAAATCTGCTAACTCTCTGCCTACTGGCTTTGCTGTGAGTAATGAAGTCTTTTATCTCTGACCCACGAGTCTTGTGTTCTCTGCCAGCCTCCATGGAATTGTGGCAAGCTGACATTAGCTTATAAGTAGGGTAAAATCTCAGACACTCCACAGATATTGACACAGATTTCTGTAGTCTTTTTTTTTTTTTAGCACATTTGCAAACAAACAAATAAAAAATAAAGCATTAAGAGAACTGAGATTGGGGGCTGGGGATTTAGCTCAGCGGTATAAGCGCCTGCCTTGAAAGCAGGCAGTCATGAGTTCGATCCCTGGTACCGATAAAAACGAAAAAGCAAAAAAAAAAAAAAAAGAACTGAGTGAGTTCTTACCTAGGTTCTGCCACTATGGTTCTAACTATGGCAAAGACCAGCTATTACATCTTCTATCTGGAATAGTGCATTCACACGTAAAATGAGAGGGAGAAGACCAGGGATGAGATGGGGGTGGCAGCTCATAGATAGTTTCTTCAGGTCAGTAATGATGTCTTAAGAATTTATTATTGCCATTTTATGTGAAATGCAGAATCATTTTCTGAATTGGAGATAACAATGAATTTATATTCTATCTCAGCCTCAGGGACCTGGGGATCTGTTACAAAACCTTAATAACTTACTCTCCTTAGCGTACTCTAATTCTACATTAAGAAATATACATATGTTCTATGCACACTAATGCTTGATAAGACACTTTTTCACTGAATTCAAAATACGTGAATCATTTTCAGGATCTCTGAGTGAGTACAATTTTGGTAATCTCCAGATCCCTACTCATTGAGGGCATTATGGCATATGGGCATCTTTGGAAGACAAGTCACGTGTTGCTTATTTAATATAAAATTGTTCTGAAACTAAATATGCAATATCATAATTTTTAAGGAAGAGAGAAAAATAGGGGAAAGCATGAGGCTATGCTGATACTATCATAGGCATGAGCTGTGCATCCTGATAGATATTCTTCAGAAATGGGAGAGAATATGCCTTTGCCAAGGGAGGAGCTGTCTGCACTGTACAATCTAAATTGATGGAAAATCTGGTCATTTATATCCTGTAACATTGAAAAAGACTGATTTTGTTGTGTAACTAAAACACAGCAGCAGCTACGGAGTGTCCACCTCTGTATCAAAGGGAACTAGTGCATTTGTATGGCCAGTCTGAGAGCCTTGGGGGCCTGAAGAAGACTCAGTATAGAATTCTGCCCATTATTCATGCCCTGTGTTCCCCCAACAAACCCTAACTGGAAAATAACCAGTCTTGAAATGTAGAGATCAAAAGTGCCACCCCTTAGTGAGCCCCTCCTCACCTTACCTGCCACCACTCTTGCTTGGTGGTGGCACTGTAAGCCGGGCGTTTTGATCTCTAGTTTGCAAGGCTGATTATTTTCCAGTTGGGTCTCACTTTGGGGGAAATGTGGTTGTTCCATTTCCTGAGGTTTTAGTTAGTCACAGTCAGCCATGGCATGAAAGAGAATTCTGGAATGGAAAAACTTAGAAATAAAAATTTGATGTTTCAAACTGCACATCATTCTAAGTGCGATGATGAAATCTTGTGTTGTCCTCTTCCTCCCAGAGTTCAAAACAGCCCTTGGTCCGGGGAACCCATGCTCTATACCTCACTCATCTGTTAGTCACATAAGCCTGCCTCAGTTACCAGATGCACTATTTCAGTATTGCAGTGGTTGTGTTTAAGTAGCCTTTATTTTATTTAATAGAGCCCAAAATAAGAGTACTAATGAAAAGGAAGCACCATGCACCACTCGAAGGACAGATTAACTCCGCTGTGCAGAGACAGTGTAGGGCATACGGGAGAGAATAATTTATACTGATTTGCTGGTGTCCACAGTTTGAGGTGTCTCCTGGGGCTCCTGGAACGTACCCTCAGGAGACGGGGGCTAAAATATTGCCTTCCCAGCTAGACCCATCCTTTCAGGTCGCTTCTGTGTAGAAGTTAGTTAGCTGAGATAGAACAAAATGAATGGTAAGTAAAGGATCGGACTCATTGGCATTCAAAACTTTTCTACCAAAATATCTTTTCCTATGACTCTTAACAAATGACATTAGCTAAGTTGGATCCTCCTGAGTTTTCAAGCAAACCATTTTTCTAAAGAAGCCACAAACCAAGCCTTCAGTCACAGTTGCCAGTCACTAGAGTTATGGGTCCCCAGGCTGTACCAGTACCAAGTGGATCATGCAAACTGTGCAACCTTCAGGGCTTTCTTCAGACATTTTCATGGGACCCAGTATCCAAGAAACAACCTTAAAAAGGGCTAGGACCTGGCCATTAAGAATACTGCTTGGAAGTTCTTCCCAGAGTGGAGAAGGACTGGCTGTCTTTGAGAGCTGCCGAAGGACCATTTGGCACTGGTGGATAAAGGATTCCTTTCTCTTCCAACTGGCAGGATCTGATCACTACTTCAGACTGGTGGATACTGTGGGTTTTCTTTTAATGCATCTTCAAAATAAAGACACTATTGCATTTTTCTAGTTCGTAGCCCATCATAGTAGGCTTTGAATGTGGGTAACAGAAAATACCTTTTTTCTAGCCCTCAAGTCATCTGACTATGTTACATTCGTGATGCTTAGAGAAAACTTTACCCCCCAGAGACCCTGGGCTTCAGTTACATCCACCACCATGAGAGTGCACTGTGGCTTTCTACATTTCATGGGACTGAGTATGTTCTATACAGGGGAAGAGGATATCGCCTGGACATGTGGGTTGCAAAGGACTAGTGTTATAAGCACTACCAGTGACCATCAACATTTATCATGTCCTTAATAAAATTTTTGGCAACACTAATAAAGAACAAAATTCTTATCTTTCCATGTAGTGAAGTGTGCCCATCTTGCACTGACCAGTGGGACTTCAGTTTAAGTGCAGTGTACAAAAATTATAGAGAATTTATTAAGGAAAACCTGTAGAGCTTTACTTGCTCTCCGTCCTCCTCCCCGCAGCATGAACTATAACTTTGATGCTTTGATCTGGAATGTCCTTCCTGGTTCAGGACACGACTTTGGGAATGGATGCTCCAACCCTAACAGACACAGATGCTTTGGGCAAGTTATCTAAAGAAGTGGTTCACAGAATTTTAACTTCTTTTTGTCAGTTCTTTCCAAATTCCCCAGTATCTTCACATTGCCTATTAAAAAGTGATGAACTAGTACCTGGAACATTCTTATCCTTCTGGTGGAGTGTCTCCAAACACTTTGCTTTCATAGAGTTATAATGGTGAAGAAGAATGTAGATGACCCAATTAACATTTATGCATGAGCTATTATTCTTGACGTTAAGATTTCTAAAGTGATTTTATATAAGAGCAATGTTAGAATTTTATCATTTTTGGAAGATCACTTAAGAAAAAATGCAAGACATGGCTGCAACCTTCAAAAAGCTATCAACAACATCGGAGGAGCAAAAAAGCCTTAGAAAGTAAAGACCAGAAACATATTCAGATGACTGCATATCTGTTACAAGAAGTAGGCTGCAATCATTCATATGTGTGTATATATCTCTATCTATCTATCTATCTATCTATCTATCTATCTATCTATCATCTATCTACCTATCTATCTATCTAATAGTGGTCATGGAAAAACTAAAATGAACTCAAGGTGATTTTAAATCTAGCTGTACATGCACACACACACTGTTAAATGTTTTCCAAACATCATGTTAGGTTCCACATTTTTTTCTCCTACCCATCTATATGGTAATGAGTTCCATTTCTAGTCCGAAATCATCCTCTACATTTGTCACTTTGCTGTATTCAATTTTATAAATAACAATGACAACAAAATAATAATATTTCTCAAAAATGCTAAAAGCGAGGTCTATCTCATGTTGCATTCAACCATTGTTAAATCACAAAGGATAATAATGTTGTCTTTATGTTTGAAGATAACGGTTCTGAATCACCATGAGCAGAATATTTGCTTGGAAGTGCTTTTCCCCATACGGACACACACTCCCTCTGTGTTCCTGAAACCATGATTATCTGTATCTAGATATAGACCTGCGTTCTATTCTGTTCTCCTTCATTCTTTAACTGAACCTAGATCTGAACCTGACCTCATAGCAGCCATACAGAGGAAAAACTCTCAAACTCCTCTCCTTAGCCAAGCCTGTAATTTGGCAGCATGTGTGAACGTTAAGTAAGCACATTATGATTCCTGATTATCAGAGCACTCTCGTTTGTGTCAATCACATCTGGCTACTGTCACAATCAACTTTATGGTACCTAGCTGGAACTAGCCATAGAGATTATTAGAAACAAAAAATAAAAATAGATAAATAAAAATCACAACACTCAAACAAAGGCAAGTTCCTCAGAGAACTGAACTTTTCCTTGGTCTGAGACTGGTGGCAACATACAATATGTCAGAAAATTTATTGGACAAAATAAACTAACCAAATGTTAAACTACTGATGGGTAATTTTCCAAGACATATTCATAATACTAATTAATCATCTGTAATCATATCATTATTAATTCAGAATTTCAGTAATCAAAAGATGCGACATTTAAAATCTTCACATTGAGTTCTCCATGTAATTGTTCAGGGGCAAAGATATTGAACTTTATCATATTACTCAGCAATAAAGGATTTTCTTTGTAAGTGTCTTTGAAGAGCTTATTGCAACATCCTGCATGATTTCAAAGAAAGAAACATGTAAACAATCATAGTGTGAATTAGGGAACAGATTAACAGTGTACTAAAAAAATGGTTAAGGAACCATATATTAGTAAAAGGTTAACTGTCTCATTAAAGAGTTCAGCACTAATTGTCCTACTATTTGATCAGCATAATAGATCAATGGGGTGAAATAATTGCTCTTTTTTTAAGTAAAAATTGACACAGATGCATATGAGGTTTCAACAAGAGAAAGAAGTGATAAATAAATACACGTATGTGAAGAGAGTGAACCATCGTAGAGGAATTGAGGACGAAAGCAGCCTGCATCGGGGCAACTGGGATAATTTCACAGGAACCATGAATCATCTTAAGAACCAAGTGTTACAAGAGTCTAGCGATTGTTTACAGTCTTTTATATTTTAAAATTTGTCAACATACAAAAGATATTTTTGGCTAATAGCATTTCTATAGCATGTTAGGGAAGGCATCATCTCTTTGCTAAGCCATTCATGTACTAACACTTTATCTTCAGTATTCTCCATCTTCCAGAGACTCAAACTTTCTATCATTCACTCAGCTTTGTTGTTCTCATACGTCTAAGGACAGACACTGTGATAACTGCTTGCTGACATTTGCTGTCCCCAGACAAGCTTTCAAAGGAAACACAGAGGAAATGCTACAGGACAGTGGGAAGGGCAAGGATTTTTAGGCCAAGATCCCAAAAGCACAGTCAACAAAATCAAAAACATACAAGTGGTGTTGACATCACACTAAAAACCTTCTTCTCAGTAAAGGGAACAATTAAGAGAGTGAAAAGACAACCTACTGAAAGGGAGAAAATATTTGTAAACTATATTTCTAAGAAGTTAATATTCATGACGTGTATATTTCTTATTTAGTGCAGCAATCATCAGCAATATATATATATATATAATTCAATAACAACAAATAAGTGCTGTAGAATATGGCATGCAAATGACCAGCAGGGATATGAAAAGAGTGCCTAAATCTTACTAGTCATCAGGGAAATAAAAGCAAAGCCACAAAGAGATAGCATCTTACTGTAGTAAGAATGGCTATTAGAAAAGTGACAAGAGATAAGCAGAGGGTGTGCAGAACAGGAAGGCCCTGTCCACTGTGGAGGGGCTGCGGACGACTGCAGACATCCTTGGTCGCAGTATGGAGTAGCTCAGTGATGGAAAGCGTGACTGAGATGTGTCTGAGGTGTGTGATGCTCTGGGTTTCGTCCTCACCTCCTAGGCCACCACCCACACGTCTGCCTGGCTCCCTCAAGATGAAAGAAACACAGAAAGGAAGAAACTACTCTAACATCAGCAATCTCATCCTGACCGACTGGAAATGAAAACAGTAGGTTGACAAGACTTCTGCTCTCATCTGTTGACTGTGGTAGGAGAACCACAGCATGGAAACAATTTGAGTGTCCATCAACTGCTGAGTGGATAAAGAAAATGTGACACCTGCAGATGATGAAATATGATTTGGTCATAAGAAATGAAATCATGCCATTCACAATGACATGTAGAGAATTGGAGGACATTATGTCCAGTGGAATAAATCCAGTCTAGAAATTTAAGTACTGCCTGATTCCAAACATACATAGGATCTAAAAAAAGTTGATCTTGCAGAAGTTGAAAGCATATTGGTGACCAGCAATAGACTGGGGACAGCAAGGAACCTCGAGGAATGGGTCATGGCCCAAACAGACAGGAATGAGAAATTTTGCTGTGATACGAGTTTATCACTCCACATAACAAAAATGTATTATGCACTTTAAAAATGTTCAAAGAAATGAATTAGAATGTTTTCCTCATAAAGGTAGGAGAGAGTCATGTTTACAGACTGAAATAGTATATAAAAATATATGTATCAAAATATCACATGGAGACAGTGGATATAGCTCAGTAAGGACTGAGGATATAGCTCAGTGACACAGTGCCTACCTGGAAAGCACGAGTCATGAGTTCGATTCCTGGTACCAAATACATATATATATATATATATATATATATATATATCTCCCATGGTAGCTGATAAGTATGTACCATGTTTATATTCTTATTAGTAACTTAAAAAATTTCCAACCCCAAATTAGCAGTCTCTGATATGTTAGCCAAACTCTGTATTCCCAAAATAGCATGAGACTAAAAATTTAGGTGAATAAATTCAATGATAAAAAAATTGTAGTTTCAGCTGGGTGTGGGGCACACATCTGTAATCCCACTATTCAGGTGACTGAGGCAGGAAGATTGCTGTGGGTTTGAGGCCAGTCTGAGCCACATGGTGAGTCTGATATCAGCCTGAACTACACGATAAGATCATGTAAAAAAATACACACACACACTCACATATATATTAAATTACTAGTTAATTTTTTATGCCAAGGCTTGCAGCTTAAAACCTCCCTTTAAACAAGTAAAAAGAATGAAAAAAAAAATCAAAGAATCAGTATTCAAGTTAATGTGTGGGACAGGAAATAAGAATCACAACTGAATCCACCTATTTTAAAGCAGCTTAGGGTAAGCATTCCTTCTCTGCCTCTGGTCAGGTAAGAGGAGAGGCAACAATGGACTTGGATACTATTGTGATGCTAATACAAGGCCTTGAAATCTTTTTATGACTAGATAATGTATTTTTCCCCACTGGTCTCATAGAATTAAAACATTACAAAATAAGCATCCCCTGACACCTCGTAACTTAAGTCTAAAGAAATAATGTTACTTAGATCCCAGTAGTGGGGATGAGAAGGAGGACAGTACTGAACTGATAGTATAAGAAGGAAATATTTTATGTTGCAGAAAATTTAAACAAGAAATGCAGCATAGGTGTGAAAATACTGATGGATGCCTGTGTGTATTACAGAGACAATAAATCTCAGTCATATGGGGGAACCTGATAGGGGTTTGAAGATGCTGAATTCCATAATTTATATCTCAAAAAATTACAGTGACTATGATAGAAATCACGTAAAACTGAAAGGAGATATAAATAAACATCCCTGCCAAGAGCCAAGCACTTTGCACCATTTTTAATTCTGTTAACTCCATATGAAGTAATTTTACTAACTCCATTTTATAGTAAGGCAATTTGAAGTTAAAACTAAATAATTTGAATATATAATCATATTGAGATAGATAACTGTATTTTTCTTTCCAGCTTCTGAAGTAGGAGTGACACTCTGAATGCCACTGGTACCAGCTTCTGGCAACTGATTTAAAATTTGCAGGAATTCTGCAAAGTTTTCATGAAATATAGCCACAATGGAAATTAGGTTATTTTAAAAGAAAACAGATTAAATAATTAGTATATAATTTAAATTATAATCAAAGTGGATTACAAACAAATGCAATAACAACTCAAAGGTCTCTTCCAAGTTAATTTACTACCATTTTTTGTATTCAGGTTACTGACATCCTCAGAGAGGAGAAAATATTTGAAACTATACTTCTAACACAGAGTGGGGTAATACGGCACATCTCCTCCTACCTCTAAATTCAGTAACATCGCTTTGCTCAGCTGAAATCATCCACAGAGACTGTATTTATAGCATGGAAGGTGGGGAATATTCCAAACTATAGGTTGATTTGTTGTTTCGTTGGTTATATAGACTTAAAAAATTAGGGGAGAAAATGTTAACGGAGACTAAATCTAAAAGTGTGAAGCCTTCAGCCTCTATATCAGGCAGAGCACAAAAATTTGAGGGCATTTTCTTGGAATATTTCACATCTATTCTCTGACTCAGCAAAGCTACTGATACTTTACCACATTGTATTTGTTATTATAAATAAAAAGAAAAAGCCAGGTTTGTAGAATGGCACTCATAGCTGGAATACCATACACACATCACACAGATTGAACTGCAGCCACAGGTCAAAGTGAGGTACATGCTTTTGGCAGAGATCAGTGAAATATGTGAGAAAAGCAACTGCCTATGTAGAATTCACAATAAAGACAATTGCATACATTGTTATTATCTTAAAGTGTTGTTATGCACATTCTTTTTTTAAATCAAATATTTACCAACTACTAAATATTTAATAGTGAAGACTAAACTATTTTTAAAAAGTCTGAATTGAACTATGAGGTTTTTGCAAGATATGAAATTGAATCTAAGTAGATAAATACATAAAAGTGCTATTGTTTATATGAAAATGAAAGAAATTTTGTGAAGGTGGTAGATGATGTACATAATTGGTGTACATTATAAAGATGAAAAAGTAAGAAATATGTAATAAGCACCTTTTATGTCTCTGAAAAGTATTTGCAATGCTTCTTTGTGTCAACTTTATCTAATATTTTGAAGAGAAAAGGGAGATATTGTTACTGTGTATAACTCTATAGTAACTTACAGAAGATTCTTTTATTTCAATCACAGTAAAATTTTTTAAAAATTTAGTCTCTAGGACTACAAAGTACAATGTATTTCTGACCTTTGCCTCTGTCTATTAGCATACTATATGGCTTTATATTTTCTTCATTAAATTTAAATTCCCTCAACTTTTGTATACATATTTCAGGATTAACATGCATCTTTTAGAAGTCACAGGAGATTCTTTGAGGGTAAGCAAAATTTTCTCAGATCAAATATAAAAGCAAGCAAACAAAACGTCTTTTGGGCAACCAATTCTGTGAGCAAGAGAATATTTTTGAAAAATAAGCCTGCTTCTCCCCAGGAACATATGAGAAAATCTTTCTGCAAATTTCAAGCAAAACTAAGTTGCATCCCAAATTGGCCATCTGCGCTCCAGGGCTGAAGCTGAGAACGTGCAGAATTGCTTGAGTAATTCAATTGCAGGCAGAATCAATGCAAGTGCTAGCACTGCCCTGGTCAAAGGTTGGCCTTTAGGCTGTGATTTAAATCAGTTGTGAGTAAGCTAAGTTTGATTACATTTTCAGTGATGAAGCTTTCAAAAGCAATTTTGAGCTTGCCTATTCAGAGGTTGTTAGGTTTTGTCCCAAATCTACACTTCTGGTTGGAAAGAAGACAGGATCTTCCCATCTCTTTTGGTGATGATTAGGTCCTGGAGTTGAACACAGATGAAAGAAGGAGAAATAAGATAGAATGATCCAGAAAGCCAAATCTGTACCAGACAAATGGGTATTCCTAATAAAATGTGAGTCATTTATGTTTGCTTTCCTTTTTTAAAAATTATAATGGGTACAAGACTAAGAGGAAGGAAAGATTGAGGGATGTTGTACTAAGTGAAAGAGTAACGGGATTATCATGCTGGTTGCTTTCAGTCTACCAATTGCTCTGGTGTTCAGGAACTATTCTTTCAGGTGTTATTGGCAGGAGACATGTTGGGGGAAATACAGATGGTTTTGCAATGTAAAATAAAATGGGTGTAAAAAACCGCTGTCAAATATGATCTCCAACAGGTAGTGTACTAACATGAGAGCAATAAACTCTTTCCATATCTTTTTCCAGCTGAGTCAAATCTGTAGAGTTGATACACATCTGTACTTAAGTCTTACTGAAGATGTATTCATTCAGGTAATACTGCTCTCTTTCATTATAACTCTTTGGCATGTTTTTTTGCTAAACACATTTAGATTCTAGAGTGTTCCCAAGAATGTTTTTTTTTTTTTTTTTTTTTTTTTAGAAAATACAAACTTCTCTATAGCTGTGGCCATGAATTTTTAGAGGATATACTGGTGAACTGTCAGTTTCAGGAATACATGTTGTCATATTGTGTCTTATGAAGCATGCTAGAAAACATGATTCCTATCAAGTGGACTGAGTAGGGACCCAAATGATGCTTTGAGAAGCGTTATGATCTGCATCATTGATTAGTGCTACATGTGCACTAATTAGATTGCTTTTAAAAATCAAAGAAAGGAAGGAAAGAGTATGTAACTATCTAAAACCACATTTGGAAGCTAGGGAAGGAAAAGTTGCTTATTTGGCTTAAAACTGCTGAAAGCAAGATGTGTATTTTTTTAAGTTTAAAACTGAGAAACATCTAGCATATTATAAATATTTGGCCATAGAATAGGTGACATTCATTTCCACACAAGCAAGCCTTGCTTGATTTATTCAAGCAATATGGGGTGGATTGCTAATTTGTGTCTCTGCAGAGAAATCCCAATTGTATTACATTTGTAAGTGTGGAAATTGAGCTCACACTGAATAGACATATTCAGGGAGGAAAGGCCACTCTAGGGTCTTCCCCAGCACTTTTATGCTTACTAAAACTGATTTTACAGTGCTTTAGAAACAGGCTGGCTCTTCAAAATATCAATTCTTTAATAGTTAATTCTTCCCTTTTGCCTTTATCTATAACATCAAAATAGCAAAAAGAGAGAGCCAGTTTTACTTTGCTTTTTCTTTGGGTGGAACACTCTATTAATTATGCTTTAAACTGATTAAAGAGAAATGGGAAGCTTAATAATAGTGACATTCAGCACTTCATTATAAGAACTTCGTTCACACATATCACTGGGTCTCTTATTAGGGCCACATTTCCACTTCTCATAAAAAGAATCAAAGTACCAAAGAGGAGGTGGAGAGTGCCTCAGATTTTTGTCATTTATCATGTGCTCAAATCATCAGCATGGGCTTCACATCCCATCAGAGCAGTGGGGAAAACAGTGCATGATGGGTAAATACAGCCAGAGACACTTCTCAGAAATAATAGGGGAATTTCTTAAAGGAGCTTGGAGAGGGTCTTCCAGAGAAAAGATTAGGAAAGAAAAGATGCTATTCAACAAAAAGTCTGCTAAGACAGTTCCTTGAAGCTGGAAATGTTGGCAAATTTTCACTTTTACAAAGCTCTAACAGCCACAACCCTGATACAAATAGGGTCACATGGTGGCCTAATTTTTTTTTTTTTATAGGGTTGGAACTGTGTGAAATAAAAGAGTAAGCAAGATGATCTAATCCAATACCTTTTCAAAGGTTGCTGTTCAACCGAATTGAAACTGTGAACATAAAGGAGATTTCCCCTGAGAAATTCTTTGCAGAGACGATAAAATAATCAGGTCCGCAATGCTTGGGTGTTAAACTTTATGGAAACACACCACAAAACCCAATGCATCTTTTTTTGTCAATAAAAGATAATGTTGAGTTCAGTGACATAAATGCACAGAAGGAAAATTATTGGCTGCTTTATTACTTTGTTGGGATGTAAGTATAACTTTTAAAATAACAACACAGACACAACTGATCGTTGAATGTATGCAGTTATCTTAGGAGCTAAAAGCTTTTGAGTTGAAAGAGTACTTGGAGGGAGATTAGTTACTCTGGTCATCTTGTTTATAGATGAATAAACTGAGGTTGAAGAGTTAAGTTAAAGGTCTTTTCAGGTTAAGGCTAGGCCTAAATTGTCTGATTGCTAGGTGAAGGCTTTTGGTAAAATTTTATGGTTACATTTGACTTTTCTGGATCATGTTGCTATCGAATTCTCATAAGCTTGCAACCTTTCAGTGACAAGAGCAAAGGCCAAAGTCCCTTTCCTCCTTTGGCATTCACTGATTCTCCTTCACTTTTGGGGACAATATGCAGTTCTAGTAGCTTGAAGATGCAGCTGTCAAGTTGCCTCTTAACCTGAGATAAACACAACAGCAGAGCAATTAATCTTGTACAACCCTCTCTCTCAACCTGCACACTCCCCCCCCATTCATTATAAGAGAAGGCTGTGTGCAAGACTGATTTAATTAATACTTCTAATAAAAAGGACCATATTCTACTGCTGTGCACAGACAATGGAGAAACGAGTCTGAGAACCAGTTTGGTATATTTGGATTCCCAGTGAGATGAAGTTACAAAGTTACTCGGGTTACAAAGAGCTGAGCTTGTTTTGTGTTTACCATCCGAGAAAAAGACACTGACACTTAGTAGGCACCTGTTTTGTACCAGGCATTGTGTTTGCCATTTGCATGCCCTGCATTATTTAATCCTCACAGTAATCCTTTAAAAATAGGTAAGTCTTTATTTTATAGGACAGCTAAATTTCAAGGCTTGAGATGGAGAGAGCTATCCAAAATCCTTCTGTGGAGATTATGGTTTCAGGTTGGATCTGCTTGACTAAGCTTTTTGTTTTCAAGCAGCAACTAGTGTTGGAGAGAGGGGAGGGGTGGCTTGGGTGGAGAATGTCCCTCGAAAGCCTTGTGCATTCTTGGCAGGGATCTTTGAAGGGACTGAATCATGGGAGAGACATAACTGACTTGCTGAAAGGAGCCCGGGTCTGGTTCTCCGAGGCAGGTCCCTGCGGGTGTGAGCTGGGTGTTCCTCTCTCCTGGCTCCTCCCTCTAACCGCCAATTCCTGACAGCTCCCTCAGGAGCAGCTTTCACCAAGCTCTTCTCACCTGGTGGATTCAAAACTTGAGCCAAAGTAATTCTCTCTTCCTTTAAGTTGTGGCTGTGTGCTATTTTGTCCCAGCAAGGAAGAAAGGCAGTTAGAAAAAGCTAAGTTCTAGCTTTAGTTCTCGAGTTTGATTTTGGTCTCTAAGTCACTCGCTTTGGGCCTCAGTTTCCTCATCTACAAAACAAGGCAGTTTTTCTAGACCAGAGATTCTCCAAGCGAGTTCTCTGGAAGTCTGTGACATTTTTGACAGACTTCACTGCTGTGTGCACAGCTGCTATGTGACCGGGAAGGCAAAAAAGCCAAAAAGGGCAGGTTTAGAGATTTTTCTTCAAGTCAACCAAATTAACTTCAATGTCATCTTTATTGTAGCCATAGATAGCACAATGAAATTTTATTTAGCAGTATCACAGTGGCCCCATAAATCATAATTGAACTGAAAAATTCCCATAGTTGGAGACAGAGCTACGGCAACATCATAACACAAGCAATGCCCATGCATTTGTAATAATGCTGCATAATCAAACCTACTGCCCTTGTCCTATAAATGGAGCATGTATAATTATGTGCACTGCATGATACTTGATAATAAATGATTGCATGATGGCTTAGATATGGAATATCCCCCCAAAGTCTCATGCATTTAGAGTTGGGGCTTTTGGAAGGTGATTGGATCATGGTGAAACTCCACTCAGTGGATTTGTCCACTGGTGAACCCATAGCTGTATTTCCTGTTAGGAGATAGAGCCTGATCAGAAGCCGTACATCTCTGGATGCAGGAACTTGAGTGTGTCTTCTTGTGCATAGATCTTCTTCTCTTGCTCTCTCTTCTGGCCTCCATGGTATGTGTGGCTTTCCTCTGACATGCTCTTCTGCATTGCTGGTTCTGCCACAGAGCCAATCACACACAGACTGAATATTCTGAAGCCATGAACCCAACCAGACTTCTCCTTTGAGTTAAGGTGTTGAACAGTTTGTTCCAGGGATGGGAAATTGATTAATATACTATGCTGCTGGTTCATGCATATATGAAACTATGCTTATTATTTTAGAATGCTCTCCTTCTACTTACAGAAAACTAGTTGAATGTAAAACAGCAAACAGCATCACCTTGGGGACAACCTCCTGCATCTTGTGTTTACCACTGTTTGGTTGCATCATTCATTCTCTCTTTTTTCATAATTTATAATCTCATTGTTTGCTCATCATGACTCTAGGAGAAATAGGTTTCACATATATACATACAAACATATGTGTGTATACCATATACCCTAGGTGTGCAGCAGTCTATCATTTAGATTGGTGGTGGCAAACCTGTGTGTGCTGCAGTGGGGTGTTGGTTACCACTGAAAATTCTAAAAGGTTCACCATCACTGCCCTACATGATGTAGCTCTCCTCTGTGATATAGGAATAAAGGTGAAATTGGCCCATAATGCAACTGTCAGGGCATATCACTTTTCTTGATAGGGCAGTAAGGATTTACATGAAGTTTCATTTTGGAGAAAAAAGGATTCAACTACTTAAAAAAGTTGAAAGAAAAACTGCCTAGCAACACTCTGGCTCTAAAATTCTGTCAGTTAATGTGGATAACGAAACCTCTGATAGCATCAGCATTTGGCTTTTAAAGAATGCAGTTTGGTGATCTGGGGCACCTCAGTCCCCAACAACCCAACTGCTTCAACCTGCTAGGAATTCTTCTTCTTGTATGGCACAGAATGACCGCTTTGTAATTATCTTCTTGAGAGTATGAGCAGATTTGAAGTATAAGGTGGGAGGACAGAGAAACTCTACTGCTTACACAGCAGTTCACACACATCATTTGCTCTAGGATTTATGGTGAGATGGACGTGATTATGTCTGCGTGGAGAAGAGGGCTGTGGCTGTGTTTATCACCTGATATGGAGTTTTCCACTGGAAGCAAATTCTGCCCAGTGCTTTGTTTTGTTTTCGAATCAAACTGTTTGCAAACGGAGGCGTTTGGGAACTAAGGTGTTACTCTACTTCATTTCAGCAATTTGTATACAGTCATTATTTGTGGGATAATTATATGTCTGTGAGTGTTCTATTTGATAGAGTGCCATCTAATAGACCTATAGAGCAATATTGAAATCTACCTACAGCTGCAAGCCTAATTTTTGTTAAATATTTATTATGAGACTATCCAGGAAAGACCTGCCATAAACATCTCACAGCTGTGAGAATGAAGCTAGTTAGTTCACGTGGCACTCTGTCCTCAGTAATCACTAAATCTGAATTTATTACTGCCTCCTTCAGCCAAAATGAAAACCTTATCTCTTTTATACTGCAAAAAGGGAGATCAGTTTTGATTTAAAAATATTAGTCTTTTAAACTTGTACTGTCACCTTTCACATTGAGTCAAGCTATGTAATAGACAAAAGAGGGCATCCATAGAGTAGTTTGCTAGTACTGTGGAACATTTGAAGAAAATAAGAAGCTGAAATATTACTGGCAAGAGGAAAATTCATTCCAGAGGCAACAGGTCTGTCAAAAACTATCAGTCAAATCTAAACAGAAAAAGGCTGGCACGTTGTTGCCACTGTTCCTTTCTCTACTGTCTCTGCCATTTCCTTTTGGGATGCCAGCTAAGTTGAAGGACCATCAAATTATACAGACTAAGAATAGAATATGACAGGGAACTTTCTAGAGAGCTCTATATTATTGACTCTAGTAGGACTTAGAATTAAAACTTTATGATTGTCTTCAAACGCTACTCAAAGCAGGTAAAGATAAGCTTTTGTTGAGATTTCTGAAGGTTCGAAGTATAATACTTTGAGATGATGAACTGTCCTTATACCATTATCAGGACTTTGTTCCAGCAAATGATTTGGGACCATACTTCATGAAAACCTTAAAGGAAAGTTTGAGGTCATATATCGCTGTATTATTATTATTATTATTATTATTATTATTATCTACTTATCTACTGGAAGCTATAAGGAAAAATTCTTTGGCAATTCGAGGCTAAATTTGTTCCAAATATTTTCATATATTAGGTCTCAAGAGAAGATTGCATTAAACCAAAACTATGGATTTTAAACACTTTTATTTCTTCATAATTTTTCTTTTTTTTGCTTCCTTTTAGACAGTGAACTTTTAATCTATGTCTTAAATGTTTGTTCTTTTGGGAAAGTGAAAACCAAAGTATACACAATAAGTTTTACATAAGGGAAAAGTTACATTTTGCTGGCTTTTGCATTCTTTCTTAAATGATGGTGTACATTTGATGAATTGGGCCCATAGATGGCAGAATGGGACCATTTCATATTCTTAAAGGAACAAACACAGAAGAATCTCTTGTCTATTCAGTTGTTCTTATTCCAGAAGCAAAAATTATGAGTGAAGAGAAACAATAAAATAAATAATCCTTAACCCTAAACTTTTCACCTCACATGGAATTTTACTACAAATAGCTGGCACATTGTCATCCACTGTGAATTCATTAACACACTTTTTTGCTCAAGAACTGATCCACACCATTAGGTAGAGGATTGTCTTTTATCCAATTGTTCTACTTTTTATTTTTTTTTTTTTACGGATATCTTTCAGAAGCTTATGGACACATGATCAAGATGTGAAAACTTTACCGTATATGTACCAGTTTTTTTGTACTACATGTACTATAAATTTTGCACCTTTGTTACTTGAGTATGTGTACTCTTTCCCAGAAGTAATTTAAAGCAGTTCTCTTGATGCAATTAATGACTACATTCTCTCCTTCAAATCATATGTCATCTTACAATTCCACTGAAAGCCTAAAGAAAAGGGGCTTTAAGATTCCTTCATATTAAAGTCCTTGCTTATTTCTCCAGACCCACCCCCCCCAAAGAAAGGGGCAGTCAACAAAGAAGGGTTGGTGACAATCAGAAATCTTGTAACTGTAGCTCATCAAAGGCCAGAGTGCTGTGACTTTGGTGCTGGAAGTTGTGGGCATTCACATTGCCATTTGGTCCATGCATCAGAAAGGAAGCCCAAGGCTAGCTTTATAGTAGGGTTGCCTCTTCCTTTCACAGCCTTCACTCTACATAAAGTTGTTGGTTCTTCTTTGTCTACTTACTCATATACCTATTTAACAACAATCTATAGATACCTGGCTTCTTCTCTTGGTTTTCCATGAAACCTCTCTGGCAAAGAGCATCACTTACTGCCCGATTGTCAGAAACAATGCGTGGTTTTCGAATTTTCTCTGGCCTGATAGTCTCCACCATGGTATCTATGGTTACTTTGCTCATCTTCATCTCCACCACACTGAGTTTGCATCCTTTTCAGGATGCTTTGCTCCCTTAGTTCATTTCTGATGCTGATTTGTTTTCCTCCATCTTTTCACTGGGTTTATGTTTTCAGGAAAATGTGATTCACTGGCATCATGAATTGACTGCCACTGTTCTGTTACCTTCGAAATTTCTACCTGCAGTCTAGATTCAACACCCAGATACCAATGGATATTCCCCAAACTGAAAAAGTCTCAACATTGAATGCCCGCTCTCCTTTCAGTCTCTGCCTCCTCCCAAAAGTGTAATCCTTGTTACTGTTCTTATCTGGTGATTCTCACCCACACTAAACAGAAGTTACCTAGATTCCTGCAACTTCCTATTCTCTCAGATTTGGTCATTAATTCCTTTCTCCTATGTCTCTGCTCATCTTCACTAATTTTTGTGCAATTATTTTGTTTCACTGTTGTTATTGAAAGTTAAGTGTTATGGTTTATGTCAGTGGCCCCCAAGCCTCATGAATTATGGATTCCATCAAATCTAGTGCTCGGATTGGTGGTGTGAGTGTTAAAACTGCCAGGAGTGGAGCCAACATACGATGTGACAGTGGGAACAAGGTGTCTCTCTCTCTTGCCAGTTGGCACCTAGCTTTGCAGTTGCCATGAAGGGCTGCCCCACCATGCCATGCTGCCTTGGAGCCAACAGAATATGGATGGAAACCCCCAAGAAATGTAAGAAATAAACCTTTCCTTCCCTAATTTTGTGCATCTGGTATTTTGTGTCAACAAGAAGTAAAAAGTAACTAAGACATTCAGTATCTGCTTCTGGCATCCGCATTAAGTAAGACTGCCTTTCAGGAATGAAAGTATTCTGTATCATACCTTTATTAAAACCTTTCATGATCTATAAATCCGAGATAAACTCCAAACCCATTTTTAAACCTTCTTGTCCTAATCCCTTCCAATCTGTCTAGTCTCTCAGCTCAATGCACTTCTTCTTCCTGCTTTTTATTCTAACCTTGTGAAACTTGCTAGCTAGTATCTTCAAATGGATAAGATTGTCTTTATGTGAGCTCTTTCACAGTCATTTTATCTCTGTCTCTGCTGCTATCTCTATCTCTGTCTCTGCCATTTCTACAGCCAGGATCAACCCAATATGCCCTTAGTTTTAATGTTCAAGGGACCTCTCTTCTGTAGCTTGCCTTAAGTCACATAGATTGAATTGGGTGTTGTCTCATTTGTATTAATGTACTTAGAGCTCATGATTGTTGAATGAACTGTTAAGTTTGGCCTCTGAAAATGGTAAAATGATGGCTATGAGGGTGTTTCAAGCTGTACCTTAGTTACAGCTCAAATAGTGACAGTAGTGACTCTTTCAGAAGACCCTTTTCTGGCCATTGAAACTGGATTGACAGTGCTTTCTCAGACAGTGAATGAGACATTTTACTGTATTTTATTAGAGTCATCTTTTTACTTCTCTGTTTCCTCTCACTTTTCTGAGAACTCTCACATGTAGGGTTCTAGTTCTATGAATCCTCTTGTCTCCAACCCCTAAGTCAGTCTTCATACATCATAGGCAGGCAATATACATATATGACAAATAAGTATGCTATGTAATGAACCATGGCTCAAAATACAACCATGAGTACTGGTTTTGGCTTTTCAACAAACTACCTAAATATCTGCAGTACCACATGACAGGCATCACATTTAATCTTGAATTGGTGCCACAAAGTCTGGTAAATGAATGAAGAAAAGATGAGGTCTCTTCTGAGCTATTCCTGCAATATTATTTCAATTTCTGTGCCCTGCCTCGCCTTGGTTCATGGGGGACTGTTTATCATTAAGATCTCTATATGGTAGCAGACAGACAGTCATCCCATAAAGTCAGTTGCTTTTAGATGTTCTGAATGAACTTAATCATCTTATGCCTAAAATTCCCCTTTTGAAACATCACAATACAAGGAAACACCAAACAAATTTTTCTTTTCAAATTCTTGTTCCTTGAATTTTTCTAGGTAACACATATGAGTTTCATGCACAAATTCCAAAAATTGCAAGCTTCAAGATGAATGGTTAATTGAGATTATCAGATTGAGTGTTCTTGGGGATGGAATGGGATAGCAATGGCTCACATTTATTTATTAATACTTATTTCCATGCAGACTGAGTATCTGGTGCATTAAATGCACTATACCAACTAATTCCTATTCTAGAGGTGGGAAATGTTATTATTGTCATTTAATAAATAGGTTAACTGAGGACTTGGAATTTAGGTAACTTATACTGAGTCACACACAACTGATGTATGATGTGTGAGATTCCAACAAAGATCTGCCTGAATCCCTTTGTGAAACACACATCCAGACATGTTCACATACTCTGAAGTGGTGTCATTTTTGATAGCCTACGTATGTCAAAGCTCTGCACTCCAGCTTGCCTTCTAGCTTTTTGGTTATCTGGGGAATGTTAGTTGCTTCAAGTAAGCAGAACATTGTAATAGTCTCATAAGCATCTCAGGGTTTATCATAAATAGTATGGACAAATATTCCTATTGATGAATCTGACTTGAAAGGTACTATCATAGTTTGTCTGTGATTAGCACTAAATCAGGAAGTCTACATTTCCAATCACTCTGTCTTGAATTTAACTATTCAAGTATACAAGTCATGAAAGCATAAAAAATATTCAAAACATCTAATAGCATCAAATACAGAAGGTACCATCTATCTCCTTTCTCCTGAAACAGGAAATGGGAAATTAAGAAATATATACTTTTTTACCTAAAAAATGGGCTGATCATTAGCAATTTTAAAAGGTTGATTAGCAAGTCACATTATAGGCTTGGTTTTTAGTTTTGGATCATTTGAAAGGTTAAGCACATTTCCATTCAGTGACTTTGAAGATATAGGGGAGACATACGGACATTTACTTTAAAAATAAAAATTCATAAATTAAAGAATAACACCCAAATTTCTGAAGATGAGATGATAAAGCTTACCAGAAGGACAATTATGTTATATGTACAGATTTACCTTTGGAAAAGTATGTTGGAAATAACACAAATTAATTCTCAAACTACAAATTTTTTTTTGTTGTTGTTTTTGTTGTTTGGACTGATGAGGATTCAACCCAAGGTTTCAGGCATGCTAGGAAAAGGCATTATGACTAAGCTCCTCAGACCTCTATGATTATTTATGTTCACAAAGATAAACAACGCATGGTATTAGTTAGAAACTTGGACTCTGAAGCCACCGGGTCAGGATTTAAATTTTTACTTTGTCACTTACTAACGATTTGACTTTGACCATATTTATATTCTTTCTTTGAATTTCTTCTATAAGAAGGGTATTATGGAGTCAATGTCTGAATTGTGGAAGAATGAAATGAACAAATTTATATGTTAATTAGAATAAAGTCTGGTCCACACAGTCTACAATACATGTTATTTGTAATTACAGTGATAATGCTTTGTATCTTTAGAAATGCTCATACTACAGCTAAAACAGAACACTCTCATTTATTTATTTATTAATTCACTTTTTTCTTACCCAGTGTTTAATTCATTTATTCACTAAATGTTTAGTTGTTGCTTATTTAATGGCAGATTCTGTGGTTGGTGATAATGGGAGATAAAATATCTTATCAGTCATTGAGTCTTCTTTCTCAAAAACTAATGGCTTGATGAAAAATCATATATATATATATATATATATATATATATATATATATATAAATAGTTAAAAGATCTGGAAATGTATCTCAGTGTTAGAGTGCTTGTCTAACATGCAGAGGCCCAGGTTTATCCTGTGTCATACATAAAGAAATAATGATTATAGTATAAAACACAAATATTTAATGCAATAACAGCTTCACATGATGTCAGACAAAAGCTCTGCATAAATAGATATTGAATCAAAATTAGAGAGTAGATTTGCATATTTGTCATTAACAAATTTAAAAAATTGTACTAGTGTTCAGTGGCTCCTCAGCACTCAGAAAATCATTGGCAGATATGAAAGTCCATCCTGAAGTTCCGTGTTCAAGAACCTTTTCAGCAATGTGCTACTTCTTGATTGTCAGAAATGATAAAATATATTTAAGAATTGACACTTGTACCTAATTTATCATATTTAGCTAATAGTTCAGTTTTTAAAATCAGGATATAATGTTAAAACTTTAACAGCAAAATGTTAATAAAGTTTTAAGCCTTATTTTTTTTACTTTTTAAAATGTACTTATTTTTTCAATGTTTTTGACTAAACCATGTAAATATTAATAATATTCCAAAGAATATTTACATTATGTTATGATACTTACTATTTTCTAGTCCTGCCCATGTGGTTCATGTTACTCAATAAAAACAATCATACTAATGGAAGAAACTCACACAAGGGTATTATAGTACAGCTATAGCATGGTAAGTAATGTTTTTCTTTCAAACATAAATGTTAAGAAATACTAAGAAAATAAAAGATGTGATGGAAACTGATATGTCTTAATAAACATTAGAAGTTCTTAAATTATGGAAATTCAAATTCATAAATGATGAAACCTTTACTGTAGTATATTTTTTTAACTATATCCCATCAGATATCCCAGGCTTGTTTTTGCAAAATGGACATGGTCATTTCTGAGATGCCCTACACAACACTTGGTTTTCCAAGGGTAACCTCCTGCACAGGGTAAAACATATGTATATCACATACAGAGATGCTAACCATGAAGACATCTGATTCAGATAACTTCATGAAATTAAAGAGATAATGCAATCTTTCTGGGGGTTTGTGCATTTTAAGAAACATCCACAATTGAATATTGGGGATATCATTAGTTGTAGCAATTTATGGGTTACTCAACTTTTAGTAAGCACTAAAAGTAATCACAGTAGGTAACATTAGTAAAGGCGCCTGTCCTTTAAAGTTTTGATTCTATGTTTTTCCTTCTTTATTCATTTCGCAACCCTAAGAACTCTGATATATCAACACCATAGCAATGATTTTATTAAACTCTTAAGTTATATTTCAAAATACAGTTTTGGGTAAAATATGGTATCTACATGGATAAAATAGTTTGCCCTTAATTATTTACTTAATATTTAATTTCGTTAAAGCTACTTTAAATTGTGGTTATTCCAGGATGAATGTCTGAAGAAAACCAATGAAAAGTCCATTCAAACCATAATTAATCTATGGTTCAAGATAATATAACACATTGTTTAAAAATCTCTTATTTTTAAAATGCAAAACAAAGCCTTTGAATCCTCAGTTGGAAGATGCATTTCAGTTAGTCTTATTAATTATGTATTTTTCCCTCTTCTCAGCACAGAAATGTTTTTCTACACACATGCAGACATCAGTAGGAATTCAAAATTCTCATATACTCATTACTTGGGGAGCAGTTTCCTCTATATAAGAATTTGTGTCAGAAGAGGCTGAGTTCTATCGGGAACATACTGCATCCCTAGCTTTTGCTTTTGCTGGTGTATAAGAGCCAGGAGGCCCCAGGCACATCTTAGTGGCACTGTGTTACTTACGATTAAGAGGCAGGCTCGCGTTGGTTGTGCCCAGCTTGTTGGCAGCCACACACGTATAGTTGCCGAAGTGCTCCTGTGTCACGTTGGTGACGGTGAGAATGGATCTTGTACTAAAATTTTGAATAATAATTCCTTGTTGGCCATTGAAGAGCCTAGAAAACAAATAAGCATTGTGTGAATAAGTACTGGGAACCTGAGCTTCATATTTATCTTAGATGGGTAACCCACAGAGAGCTGGACCACATTGATTTTAGGCTGTAGTGTGACAATAAAGCCATTATACTCTCCTTTATTTTTCTCCTCCATTCTCTTTCTCTTCTTCTTCTCCCCCCTTTCCTCTACTTCTTTTTACCCTTATTCTTCTTTTCCTTCTTTCCTTTTTTTCCTATTTCTTCTCGATCTATTCATTCTCTCCTTGTCTCTGTATAATTTTCCTTCGATTCTTTCCTCTAGAAGTTGCCATGCATACAAGCTTTTCAAAGTAAATTAATTCCAATTGTGTTAAGCTCCTAAATGACAAGGCCACACAGACACACTTTCTGTGATGTTTGAATTATACACCTCCTTTTATAGTGTTATCCCAGGTACATGGTAAGTAGCACATAGGCCAGGGAGTCCAGCAGATGTTCCTTAACACCAGCTTTATTAAGCTTCTTTCAACAGGCCCTTTAAGATAATTCCTGACTAAAGGATTCTTTTAGTCACCAACAAGATGTGACTTCTGCTGACTAATTCATGTACTGATCACACTAGGGGGTATGCAAACTCATAGTCCAAATGGCATTGTAGTTTTCCTCTTTGGTGTGTTCATTTTAGAACTAAATATTTCTTTAATCATGGAGATACTAAAAATGACATCTCCTGAGGGTTTAAAGTTGAATGCCTTTGCATTATGCTGTGTGGCTAGATCTGAATAAAAATATACCTTCAGTCAAATGCAGACTAAAATAAATAGTCATGTTTGATTATTCCAGGGATTACTTACATTTCATGTAAGATTTATCCAAAGTGTAAGCTTTACTTATATTAGCAAACCTTTGAGTTGACTAAACACTGAACAAAGTCTAACTTGAGCAATAAATCAAATGAACCCCAATTCTGACACAATTTGATAAGTCATAAAGTATCACTCATGTGACACCTTTTACTTACATTTCTAACTTATCACCATTTACACTAAATTCTTAAAGTGAGTATTGCATACTTTTATACACCACATTGTCAAGTTCATTTTTAACTAATTTTTCTACATCTGCTAAAAAATCACAGCTTTTGTCACCCTGCAGGCTCCAGCATTTGAGCTCAAATCAATTTTCCTGGGTCTGTATCCTGCATACATTCTCTCAAGGGTTCAGCAACACCCCAGACTGCTAACTAAATCCCTGTTGTGCCCCATCTACCAAAACCTAGATGGTTTTTCTGCTAAAGAACTGAGAAGAAGCAAAACAGGATCTTCACCTGGCTAGACACGGGGGAAGCATTCTCCAGGGAGGGCTGGCAAAGGCTACAGGTTATGTTGTAGTCAGGGGTTGTGCGGACAACAATTAGAATCAGGACATGGATTTTATAATATTGTTTTTATAATGGTCTCCGGGAGTTAACACAAGAAAATGCAGGAAATCTATCCGCAACACCAAAGACATAGAATATTTAGTCAAGGGCCTGAATCCCACAGCAATGTTCCACACAAGCCTAGATAAAAACTCAGAGCTCATGACAGTGCCTCCCATGAGTCCAACTCAGAGCCCACAAGAAAGACTCACACCAGTCTCTTTTATGGATGCGTTCCGGGAAGGCCCAAAGGTCAGCGGTGGAAACCAGAAAGACCATGCCAGCAGGGTGAAGGAGCTGTGTGGGTGGGATGAGGGTTCTACGCTGGAGCTGAGAAGTCACACTCACAAGACCAGGGCTGTCCTGAAAGGCACCACAGTCATACTCAGTGACAAGGAGGCCCTGAGCTCCTCTGATGATAAGCACAGTTGGGCACATGCCAGGAAGCCAGCGTGATGAGTTCATCCTGGAGACCAAGCGGCACACGTCTCCAGTTCTGTAGCCAGGAAGCAATGCTTGATGTGAGGACCAAAGCCTCTCCAGGAAGACCAACGGCTCAAACAACAACTCGTAGGAGAACCCACAGTGCCTCAACACAACAATGCCTTATAGCAACCTCCTTCTCCTTCTCCACCTATTTATGCTGGCAGCTTTCCTCAGGTGGAGCATCTTTGCTCAGTGCCATGCTGATGTAATCCAGCTGGCATTAAGTTGACCACCAGTTCTTAAACCATAACAGGGTACTACTTGTGCATGCTCCTTATGGCTTCGTTCTGATTGAGTTGGCTTTCCACTGTCTGCCCTTTAATGTGACTGCAGGCAAAGCCCCAGATGTTGCTGAGTCATGCAGTGTGCCCAGGCTGCCTGTGTTTGCAGGGCCAGTGCTGGCCTCTGGCCAGAAGTCCTGCTTGCATCTTCACAGGAATGCCACCTGAGTGCTTCAGCCCTGCTGCTCTCAGCTCAGCCAGGCAGGAGATTATGGCAAATAAAAAAGAAAAAGTATCTTCTTCCTTGGGGGCTTTTCCTTGTTTTAAGGGAAACTCTATTTCTTAGTTACCAGAGAAATCTAAAGCTTACTTCTTTACTGTAGTTGGACATTTTAGAAATACTGACCTCCAGTGCCCTTTAACATTCTTGTCTTCATCTGGTAAGTAACAGGGAGGTACTTTGAGGGAGGGTGACTTCTGGGAAGGAGTGATTTTCTTGTAGGAATCTAGAGTTGGAAGCTTTCTTAAATGTTCAAATCAACAGTGAAAATAGTGTTTAAGTTGCTGCAAAGCTGAGCTCTGTGCTGAGCAATAAGGACCAGGCTGAGCCTAAAACATGAACTCTGCCCCTTGGGAGGTCAAACTCCAGCAACCGAATCAGGCAGGGAAACAGGTTTTTGCAAGTGATGATCCCACCCACCATCAGTTATTGGATGTAGAAATTTGAGGCACATCCTCAAGTTCCCAGCCTATGCTGTTTTCATGTGCTTAAAAACAGTGAAAAAGTTCTTTAATCGATGACTTTTTCTTGTAGAAATAGATTTAATTCCAGATGGTTATCTGTAACAGAATTTTCTATAAAGAGAACCGTTCTTGTATTGACTTAGAGTACAAGAGATGTCGTCCTGTAGCCTCTCGCTCCAAAGGAAGAGAATGAAATCCTATCAAGCTAGCAGTTAAACGTGGTCTGGCTTTCTTTTAACAGTGGATGATCAACTTACAGTGCTTACTTGGAAACCAGTGGCCATTTTTCTTTGTTGCGTCTATATCACAGGGGATGTGGTTATAAGGTGCTTCTATTGCTGTAGACCCTGCTGTGTTCTACCTGCTGATGCCAATACAAGTTTGCTCCTCCTCGAGAACCATTACTCTCACTTCTCCTCCTTCTGCTTTTTGCCAACTCCTCATAAATCTGCGAACTGCCTGCGATTTGCTTTCCCAGCTGACGCTGCCAGCTTCTAAGTGACACAGCCCGACCCACTAACTAGTTCTGAATTAGAATAGACCCTGTATTTTCCAGTGTCAGTCAGAAGTAGCACATGGAAGGCATGCTAATAATGTGGGCCACTTGCATTTCTGACTCATGAAGTGTTTGCAGAATTTACAATCGTAACCTCCCTCAGGCTGTCGCTATCTCGGATGACCAGAAGGGCTGGTAGCGGCTTCACCATAGAAAACCTGACTTCACAGCCACCCAGTACCCGTTGTTGTCGAGACTGCAAAAATAAATGGAGCAGCTGCCACAGCATCCTATTCATTTTATATATTCATCCTGCCTCACTCCACAGCTTAGGATTATTGTTCACTATCTGTCTTTCCAGGTTAGGAATAACAATAAGCATGGCTGCTGCCATGTGATGGTATTTCTAGTCTTTTTAGTGTGAGCAGGACTACTTTATACATGTGGAATGTGTTAGCTTTACTCAATACAGTTCTGATGGCAGCAAGCCAGTGCAAAAAGATTTCAGTCTTGCACACACGAACATTTTGGCGTTCAGAGGATGAGGAACTGACAATGAGAAATCATGTAAGCATTTCCAAATGTGTGCATCAACTCGTCTTCACAGCCAACCTAACAGATAGGTGTCATTAGTCCCATTATAGAGGTGAGAAAACAGATGTTTAAAAAGATTGAAAGCATTTTTTTATCATGCAAGCATCACATCCATATCCTCTATCTGTATCCTCCCACAAGAACAGTTAGCATACAAATCCCCAAGTAGAAACCTGGATACCATATTTAAGTTTGAAGAGGCAAGTCAGAAATTGTGGGTGGTTCAGAAAAATTGGCTTTAGCTGAGGAATAGCAGTAATGCAGCTAGCAAGCCTGGCAGTGCACGCCTGCAACCCCAGCACTCAGCAAGACTGAGGCAGAAAGACCAAGAACTGAAGTCTACCCTGGGCAGTTAACTGACTTAGCAAGACTCTATCTTAAAACATTAAAAATAAAAAAATCTGGGGAGGTAGCTCAGTGGAAAGCCCCTGGGTTCTGCCTTCAGTAATGAAAACAATGCAAAACTAAACCAAGCCAACTGAACTAAACCATAAACTAAACTAAAGCCTTGGTGGACCTAAAAGGTCAAATAGTATGTGATAGCCACACATGAAACGCTGGTTCAATCAAAAGAGTGAGTCTAAAGAGATAAAAAATTAAACAAAAATATGGTTCATTCTACCCAGGTACTTGTGTATTTCTCCAGGCCGGAGGTCGCATGCCTATTTACTTGGAGCTTAGTATCCTTTCGAGGTAGCCTCCTCCAGCAGATGTCACCAGCCTCCACTGCAGGCCATCCCTCCCCTGGGCTACTCACAGTCTGGGATTGAAGCGTAACATTGGTTCTTTCCTTCTCATTTCTTCAACCTGTCTCTCCATAGACATATACTTTCTACATCAATTATCATTTTTCTAAATGTTCACTAAATATTCAGATATAGAAAATCTCTCTTTATGTATTAATAGAAAGTCACCAAGAATGGCAAAGTGTAACCTGACCAGGTGACAAAAATGTGCTGTTTTAGAGTAATTCCAGAATTTCTTCTAAAGTCTGAGTTCCAGGGTGGAACTGTGGAATTATTTCACCATCTGTTTTGGAATAATCATTTCAGTTTTAAGT